TCTCCTGACATCTAGAAATCGAAATTTTTCCGGGGAACCCGGACCCTTTATCTTTGGAGTTCATTGATTAATTGAATCATTTTCAAGGGGGGGGGGGGGGGCCCTTGAATTTTGAAGAATTTGAAAGGCATTAAAAGACATCACAGAAGTCGGGGAAAGCTCATTTCCCGTCACCTAGGAATCAAAATTTTCCCGGGGAAGAACCACAGGACCTCCCCACCCCCACCTTTCTTTTTTGGATTTATCGATTCATGGAAAAACTACGTATGCAACTTACTCAATCTTTTTTTATGTATGTACTGTATGTATACACACATAAGGCCTATTTACTGTAATAACAATGGGAAAAAAATTATCTAACCGTTTTCAAGAGTGGAAAACCTTGAATTTTGAAGAACTTAATTACTTTTAAGTTCTCCAAAATTCAAGGTCTTCCTTGAATCAAAGCCACAAGGTATTCTCCACAGTGGCATAATCACCGGGGGACAGGGGAAAAATATCCATCTGTGGAAAGTCTTTCCCCATTGAATGCCCTTTTCACCCGGGAAAGTGCCTGAAAATCTCAAATTTTAAATCGCATATTTTGTTGAGGTAGGCCAATTTCCTCTAAATATTGCACATTTTAGGGAGTTTTGATCAATTCCGACGAAATTAGAATTTAAAAAACAAAAATTTTTCGCAAGCTTCGCGCGCATTTTTAATGTTAAAGTTTGTGCTTGCTCTCCTTTGCCTTCTAAGTTATAACACATAGTCCCAAACTCAAGAAAGAATATTTAAGATAGGCCTAGATCGTTTTACCTAAAAGAAGGGCCTCAATGTGTAATGATTTTGAAAGAATATGTTTATAATAAATAAAGCCATAAGGAAAATGCTTATATTCAGTTTAAAGAAAACGAGTGTGGCCATATATAACATAAGAGCATTTCTTGTTGAGGTAGGCCAATTTCCTCTAAAAATTGCACAATTAGGGAGTTTTGATCAATTCCGATGAAATTAGAAAAAACACAAAAATCTTACGCAGCTTATAAGTGGGGCCCCCCACTTTGAAAAACGTTCCGCCGGCCCTGTATATAAATCACAATACTACATGCGTAATTTAAACACTAGTCAAATCTTAAATGAGAATAATAACTAATAACTTGATCTATTTTTGTATTTTCCAATGAATAAAATTATAAGTTTTAGTCTAATAATCCTCAGAATTTGTTTATGCTCTTTGCTACGCTTCTCTACTACGTCACTGCTGAGCACGTATTTTGTCCAGACACCCCCCTCCAAATTTTAAAATACACGCTGCCGTTCTCCGCCCACTTTCTAAAAATGCTGGATCAGCCCCTGAATTAGACCAATATACAATACTGGATGTAAGTTCAAATTTAATAGAAAACAATCTCTACCTTTACGACGTTTCTTTCCAGCGTGTGAAGATGCAACTTGAGAGACTGTAATGAAAATTACAGAAGTTGAGCCTAGTAATACTCTTAAAATACTTTTTAATAGTAAAATACACTGACAGGGGTGTCATTTTGAAATGAAATAATATTGTAAACAATTTACTATTTGATACATTGTAAACATAAACCTCTAGAATAATAGAAGTCACAAAAATATTCATGAAAAAGAATCAAAATTCCCTTGGGGAAACCACAAGTGAATGAAACTGGATGAATGTATATGTTTAATAATTTTTGTTTACTTATTTTATTTTATTATTTGTTACCTAGTTATCCCAGGCCCCTACCAGGCCCGGGCACTAAGGTCTAGAAGAATGCTGTTTATAATGCAATTTTGGTGGTAAAAGCTAGTTTTAAAAGCTAGTTTTAGGAGGGAATTTCTCCATGTTTTTGGCGTAGGCTTCATACACACTACAGCATGTTGTCGTTTTCTATCAAGTGTGATCATTAAAAAATTATGTGAGTAGAGTAAAAAGAATACAAATATTTCCAGCTCATCACTTACATTGAAAAGTTAACATAATGAGTAATAAAGTTATTAAATTTATTTATATTTATTTTAAAACAGCAAAATTATATTACGAAAGTCAAACCAAGTCAAACCTGCTTCGAGGTTTAATTTTGAATCGTAACTGTTTACACAAAAATATGTGCAAACCAATTTGGAGATTTAATTCCCATGTGAGTTGATTTGCCCAGCCATCGGGGATCGTGTGTTGTTCAATAATGGCTTTTAAATGGCTTTTAAAAGAATAGGGCCGGCAGGCGTGCGGACGAACAGACATACAGATGAATGAATGAAATTAATTAATTGGTTTGCCCAGCAGTACCCTAACCAGGCAGTTTTTCACAGTGCTTGAGAGCCCACCTTTTTGTTCAAATGTGAAAGTTACTTTAGAAGTTAACAAGCAATTTAATTGTGTAGTCATAGTCATCGATATGATCCGTCTGTAGTTTCATGCCTTGCATAAAATTCAGTGGGTGTGACAGGGACGTATTCAGGGGGGGGGAGCCGTGGGAGCCGCGGCTCCCCCCTTTGTACACAGTGTTAAAATTTTAAAGCTTATTCTTGAGCCAATACAAATTCTTTCCTGGGATCACTCAAAATGAATACTTCTAAACATGTAAATATGCATCAGTACACGTTATACATAGGCCTCATAGAACACATAGGCCTAAGCGTGATTTAAAAAAATCTTAAATCCATAAATTTCAGGCCAGGTCTTTTAAGATAGAAATGCGATACTGTGGTTCAATTTCATTTTTATCCTTTTGCAAGTTTCTTTAAATGTTTGTTTAATAATACTACTACTAAAAGTAATAATAATAACAATGATGATGATGACGATAGTAATAATTGATATTAATATTAATAACAATAAAGTGAAGAAAATTGTGCTAAATGCGAAAAAAAAGTTGTGATTTGTTGATCATACTATAGTATATATACTTAAAGCTTAGTAAGCTATAATTAGGCCTAAGTTGTCCTGAATATTAAGTAGATTCCTGATAAAAGATCATGAGAAATTTGTTGGCGTTTCATTTTGAATATAATGGTAATGTGATGATGATGAATTTTACTATATAAAAGTGTCATTTCCGGTCATCTCGAGAGTTACTATTTCCTCAAATTTTGGTTTACAAAGCAATGGCATAACCAGTGGGTGTTTTCATGGTGCCCAAGTACCCACATTTTTATTCAAATATGAAAAAGATAATAGTCAATTAATAGAAATACATGGCAAAGTAAGTTACTTTAGACGTTAACAAATCTCTAAATTGTGTAGTCATAGTCATCGAATGCTCTACCCCTAGTTTTGCACCCATAAAGTTCAATGGTTGTACTAAATTGTATTTAGAACCCTGCTTTTCAAAATCTTGTTACGCCACTGCCCAGATTAACTAGTTACCGTAATGTACAATACAGTTTTTGTTCAAATTTTAATAACAGCCACAAAAATAACAGACTGGATACCCAGAGAAAGTAAAAGAAGGAGAGGAAGACACAAACAGATACAGAAAGATGACTTGAAAACATAGAGGAAATATTGGTTTAAAGAAACATAGACAGAATGAGGTGAAGAGTTTAGAGGAGGGGCATGTTCAACAGTGAAGTAAGAGTAATAAAATAAGACATAAATGTAAGCATTATCTTACCACTTCCTTGTCCTGAGTTTGATGGTGGCTTTGGAATGTCTGAAATATTATTCAACAATTGATTAACAGTATGTTAAAAATAATATTATTATTATAACAATAGGCAACTTGACATGTTTAGACATGGAAGACCTAAACAGTATTGCAAATGCCCAACTTATACGTGATTACTGTATTTTAATAAATGTAAGCCATATAAAACTAAATACAATATTATCAACTACTCTAAATCATTTCAAACAAGAAGAAAAAATTACTCAAAGCAGCATTTTACAGTACAAGTAATCAGGATGGGGAAAACTGATGGCATCTTAAAATTATTTTTTTAATAAGAGCACTTTACATCTAGAAAATAGTCTGAATTGAAAGGGAATTATTTCACACCCTATATTAAAGCATCCACACTGTCAATGACAGTGGTAGTAGCAGCAGTAGTAGTAGATAGAGTCACAGTAGACGCAGTAACAAATAAAATGATAATATTATTATTAAAGACACCAATGTAAACATTATTTATCTCACCACTTGCTTGTCCTGGGTTTAAAGATGGCTTTGGAGTTTGAATGTCTGAAACAAAATTAAACAATTGATTACTGGTACAACAAATATCAATTTATTTATTATTTACCATAATAAATAATTTAACTCATAAATTGGTTGCACATTTTTGAGATGTTAAGACATGGAAAGCATTTGGAGATGTTAGGACAAGGAAAAGCCATATAAATGCTATTTTATATGATCATTGTGTTTGATATACAAATAGAAATCATAATAACACAAATAAATATCAATAAACTACAAAATAACCTCATCCATCCTAAAGAACAAATCAATGCCAGTGAAGAGTGTGATGTAGTTTATGAGATAATTGGATGCCTGAACTGTGATTCAGTATACATTGGTGAAACAGGCAGGAAATTGAAGACCCGATTGGAAGAACATAAACGTATTGTCACCAATAACACAACAGGTTTGTGCACTAGAGCATCCAAAAACACTGAAACTGAGCTCATTTACAAATCAGCTACAGTATAACCGATCACATGGTTAAATACAACCACAGGGGTACCAAGCTAGAAAAAGTCCATTCCATCTGATCTGGTTAAATGAACTTTCTTAACACATTAAATTTTATTTTGCTGTGGATGGTGATACCCATCAGCATTGATGTCCAGGAGACAATTTATAATTAATAGTAACACATGGAAATATATTATGAATTTGTGGGAAGCTGGTTATTTTCCTTCAGATTCTTCATTGCGGAAGTGCGGGAGGCCGTCCCAATATCCGAGAGACTATATAACCATACTAACGACTGAAAAAATGCAAAACTCATACAAACAGAATCCATCTAGCAAAACATGAAAAGAGACAATGGATTGTACTGATTCTCACATGCACAGTATAGCCCAATCCAAACTCCTGAAAAACCAGAAAACTGGCAGAGGGTGCTAATCAAGCCTCAATAGTGTAACTAACAATATCTACCTCCTAAATATTCTCATCACACAGGAAGAAAATAGCTAGTTTACCAGAACAGTATACTACTGAAAATCAGCACATACCAACCAATATCTAAACTACTCATCCCACCACCCTCTCAAACACAAATTAATAAGACCAAACAGTGTGTGTGTGTATCATCGAACACTTCAAAGTGTTTGTGGGCTCTAAAAAAACAAATGTGTCAAAGTTCATGAACCAGCAACAAATACCAAACTGAATTTCAATGTCAAGAAAAGGTTTTACAAAACAAATCTGCCTTAAGTCCAAGCTTTTTTACCACCGATCAGGGGGTTCTTCTCAGCAAAAAAATTTTGTTGGAAAATACATACTAGAGGTACTCTTACTGTACAGGGCAACTTGACCTAAGAAAATAAATGGTTTTTACTATTAATTAGATGGTATGCCCTACTGTATTATAAGCAGATATGGTGGTGGGGAGGATTTTTGAGGGTTGGATTTGTTGGCCACCCTATTAAACCCCCTAAATCCACCATTCACTACAGGCCCATAGCCAGGGAGGGGGGTTTTCTGGGCGTGAGGTCCATGGCTTTTGGGTCTAAATAATGCTATAAATGTTTGTGTGTGTCTGGGTGGGTCTGCAGTGCATTAGTTGGGTTGGAGGACTTATTTGGGAAATTTGAAGAGGGGGGTTTGCCAGAAAAGTGGAGAGTTTGCTAGAAAAGTGGGGTTCTCCAAAACCCTAGAAACCCTCCCTGGATACGGGCCTGCGCTGCGCAAGATTCCTCACTGATTAAAGGTCTACTAATTCCAATTCGTCCTTCCTTTTCTGTGTGTGTGTCCATTTTTAAAACTCAACAGAGTTAGTAAATCTTTGATGCTAATAAAAGAAACTAAACTGAAAATGAAGGCTAAAGGTACTTTTAAAGTAAAATCGTTAAATGTTTAATGCTTCTTTAAATTTTACTATAAATAATTTTAATGTTAACACTTTTAATTTTTCAATGTGTTTTCATTATGCAAAATGTGTTGTAAATATCACTTTAATTCAGTATGCTGCGATCTTTTATATTCCAATGAAGAATAAAAAAAGAATTTTCTTGAAAATGAAAACCTTATTTTTTTTTTTTACTGGTACATATAGTAATTTGAAGGTTTCCAGTTTGTCTAATTCATGCCCTGACTGTGTCCCTTGATGATAATCTGAATCTACTGTAAATCAATTTGCATTGTTTTGTGAATTCTTTGTTTACTGTACGACTTTGCCCATCTCTGACATAATCACCAATTATTACATTGATATAAAATAGCAATTAAATTAATAACCTTCTTTGAAAACTTCCACAGCCTGTTGGAGTTTCAGGGTATTCAATTTCTCAATAAAAGCATCCATATTTCCTTCACAAATTATCCTGTTGTGCTCTAGATCCAAAATTAAACTCCATGTGTCTGCATACTCCTTTACTGGTTTGTTATACAATCCACTGATCTTTTTTATGTCTTCATCAATCAGTACCATTCCAAGCTTCATAACTTTTTGTCTGTGAGGTGTGAATTTTGAGATTATCATATCTTTGACATTTGGAAATGATGGAAGCAGGTTATCTTTAATTTTCCTTTCCAAACCATATTGCTTTGATATGTTTATCGTATCATAAAGAAGACTGAGATCTTTTAAGTGCAGAACGCCAATATCAATCAACGAATCTATCATGTCTATCACCTTAGCAGCCTTATTCAACTCAAATTTGTTTTCAAAGAGATCTCTGTACAAAACTTTGAGCATACTGATCCATCCACGCTGGTCATACCAATCCGAAAAAAATGACAACAGCTGTCTGAAAGCATCATCCGTGATTTCTACAAAAATAAAAAAGTCTCATTATTAATGTACCTGGAAAATACTCTTTATTTACATTAAATCGAAACTTAAATAAATTATTTTTAAATTTCATTATGATCAAACAAATAAGCATCATCATCTTCATCACTGTCAATTAAATTATCATTTGTCATCATCTTTATATCAGCATCATTTTCCTATTATTTACTGTAGGTTTTTTCTTAATAAAATTATTTTCTTATTCAAAATTATGAAATGACAACAATATATGTGTTCATGTTAGAAGGTTATTTATAGGTTACTGTATTTCTGTGGTTACTAACATACTTTGGAATCAAGATTGTTATAATAAGGTGATACCAAAATATTTATTTTTACTGGTAACATTGCTTTTAAGATAAAATCTTGTATTTTAAAATTTAAAGCCCTAAAAGAATAATAAAAACATTTCTGGTAATGGTATTGATCAAGAAAGCATTTGATACTAAAAATACATGTTACATTTCATCTTTCATCTTATTATTTATTTATCCAATAAACAGTTAAACAGCAATCTGAAAAATAAGTAGACCAGGACCAACCAAAGTGAACCCCATCATTTTAGCAATACTGGTGGGCCAATCCCAAATCACAGACAATATAATATTTAATCAAAAGGAAAATAAACCTTTCACAGAAAGGAAGGTGGATTCTCTAGAATTGTAGCATCAATATTGGTCCTGCCAGTTTGTCCTATACTTGAGGCAGCCTAATGGTAATCGAGTGAAAGAAAGCTTGAGTCCAAGATTTTTGGTTAAAAAAGCACAAATGATCAGTATGCCTAGAATTAGCATTTATGCTATCAAGGAATAACAAGAAATTATTCCCTTCTCACATACAAAGAGAGAAATGATACATCACTGGGCATGATGTTCTTTGAGAGCAAGTTGATCATTTTCTTGATTAGTTTACCTTCCATTTGTCTTTATTGCCTTTAACCTTTCTATTTCATATTGATCTTCCTTTCTTCATCATAACATTTCTGAAAAAAAAAATTTCTGAAAAAAAAAAAAAAAAACAACTTAGATACTTCAGAGATTCAAGGCTGGGATAATATTTTATAGCTACATATCTAATTATTGTACATTTGCACAACCCATGTAGGGGGGAAGGGGGTGGGCACAGGGTGTATGAAACAAAATTAGGCCTATTATGGAAATATTTTGAAGGAAATTCATATTGCTAAATATATTAAGCAAGACAAATATAAAAAACACCGCTATATATAACCATGGACCTTTAAAAATTATAGGTCCTTGATAAAAACATGTAATGTATTCAATCATGGTGAATAACACTAACACGATGAAGACATGTTTACCATCTTTAATGACAGCCAAATACAGTGGCAGATTCTGAAAGTGTCATTTCCGGCTATATTGCAATAATCCTCAACTTTCTTACCTCAGCCCCAACTTTGTTGGGCTGAGCAGTGGCGTAATGCCTATGCGCTCTCGTTCGGTGGTCCGCAGGGCCCAAACCCATAGGATCTTCGAGCCAGCACCCTGACCTAAAGGTTGATACAAACAGCATAATAATATGTCTAACATCAACTGTAGGACATATAAATTTTTGAAAAAAAAATGTCTGTGAGTGCTATTTGTGGACATCTAAAGTTGCCATAATCATTAATTTTGTGACCTCAGCCCCAACCATAGTGGGACTAAAATGGTACAGACCCTCCATCTGTGAAAGTCCCTCCTGGATTCGCCACTCATATATTATCATGTATTTAGTCGTTAAAAACATGTAGAATAAAATGAAAAAATTATTAAAAACAAGCTCATCTAAAATCCTATAATGGAATTGACTACTGGGACCCAAAAAAGGATCCTAGTATCAGAAAGCAATAGGGGCCCCCACGAGCGTTACGCCACTGGGGCTGAGCAAATCCCTATTCCACTGAAAACTAAATGTTCATTTTTGGTATTTCAACCCACTTAGTGGAACTAATTTAGTGCCATGTGGGATGCATCCGCACCTGCAATCTACGCCCATGTGCTGAGGCAGTATATATTATACTGTACCCTTTATCTGGGAAAGTCCCAGGTGTGGCCCCATCTATTTCAAAATTCTGAATCCAACATTAAGATATCCAAAGCTGTAGTGAGGTCAAAGAAATCCAGTAAATGTCAGGAGCACGCATTTGGAGCTGAAGCATTGGTACTGTATTTGATGAATTTGGGGTGGAAGTGGTTACCCCTAAAAAATATGATTTTCCACTTTTTACAAACCACATTAACAATGCTATATACAAGAGAAATATTTTCCTGTTTTAATTTCTAAATTGAAAGATAAGCCAAATCTATAAATATAATAAATAAAACCTGGCCAGTACTGTGGAATGTTCACATCTAACAAAATAAAAACATTGTATTTATTCTGCAAGTGTGAGGTTATTGTATAATGAGAACAATGCTGCTAAACGACATCCCAAAATTTGTTTAATTTTAATGCACTGGTGCTGTTTAAAAAGGTCAATCATTAGAATGGAAATGGTGAGATCTGACCTCAATATATAATGACAGAGGAACCCACACTACCCCCTACCAGGGGTAGGGTGAGACCTAATAAATTAACATTACTCAATTTTGTGATCGGACTAAAATTATGTTGACAGATATGATTACTTTTCAGGGGCGGATCCAGAAATGTCCAAAAGGGGGGGGGCCGGAAAGTTGGGCCGAGTGAGACAACACTGTCGTAGGGGGTCCGGGGGCATGCCCCAGCGAAATTTTTGTGTTCTAGACGCCTGAACATAACATTTGAGGCATTCTTGGCCATCATTTTTTTCTTTTTCTCTCTTTTTTTTCTTTTTTTACCTCCCAAAAGGGGGAGCCGGGGCAGGGCCGGCCCCCCCCCCTAAATCCGCCCCTGCTTTTAGTTTTTTGGTAGTTTGGTATAGGCTAGGCCTATTTACAAGTTTATATCAAACCCAGTGGAGTTCATTTATCTGTGATTATCGGACTAGGCCTACCTAGCTAGGAAGGAGGGCTCGACCAACCTGCCTAAAATCTATCTTCTCTCTCTTGGCTAGGCCTAGGTAGGCTAGGGCCTAGCCTAGATATGGTAGGTCTAGGCCCTACCTACAGTAGGCACTAGGCCTATATCAAAGAGAATATTCAACGCATCCTGACTAGGCCCTAGGCTAATGCACTTATGCACACTACATCCAAAATCAAAAGATACTATATAATTTATTTGCTATATTGCATAAATGTTATGTAAACTAAAATGACTATACTACCATGGTAATGTCTGTAGAGTTACTTGAGCCTGGGCCATAGTTAGTTAAACCATGGGGGTATTTAAACTACAAAAATCAATCAGGAAACTGACCTCCAGCAGAAAGGCGCGTCGTTGGTTCCAAGTTCCAACTTGCTACTGGCTTCTCGAAGGGAATTCCCCTTCTAAATTATTAGCGCCCTCACAATTACTGTACAACAAAACAACGTCGCTAAAATAAAAGTGTTAGCTACAAGATGGTCAACATTTACAAGAATTAATTGTATATATACGAAGTAGCACATGCACTAGGTTCATTGGTCAAGTAAAACGAAACGAAACGATTACTTTTCTCTGTTATGAAAGTAATACATACTCCAAGTATTGAAATACACGCCATCGTGTTTGTTATTTTTATGTTATTCTATTATTATATTATTACGGTACCGTCTGTTATTATCAGAATTGTTTTTTCATGTATGTCTAAAATAAACTATAAATGGATGTCAATCTCTAATGAGCATAGTTAATATGCTATTATATATTTCATATTTAAATATGCCACTGTGATCGTTTTGATGTCAAACAAGAAGTTAAGAAATATTGTACACTTTTTACCTAAGATTACCTGGCTTGACTTTAATGGCACAAATATAAGAACTCATAAGATTCGGAAATGTCAAAACAATTCGACCACATGCAGCCAATTTTGAAAAAATTATTATCAGTGATGATGTAATGCTACTGGCAAGCAGGATATTGAAATAAAAGGCGTTGATATCAAATTAATACGGTATTTCGGTCACGCACATCTTTCATAATCCCCAGCAACCATATGAAATGCCATAAGACAATGCTATGCAATGCAGATGACATCCTCCTACTTAGTTCAACCTCATCTGGACTTCAGGTGCTAATTAACTATGCCAATAAGAATATCGTTGAACATGGTCTACGTTTCAACCCTCCTAAACATTTTGTTCTCTCCTCTGTAATTTGAAAAATAAACCCACCTGGTCTCTAAGCAATCATATTTTGTCATCCGTTGAAAACCTTACTTACATTGGTGTTTCTCTTTCATCATGAAAGGCAATCGTCATGTAGATGAACGTACAAGAAAATGTCAGCAGGCATATTTTTCTCATTACAGGGTGTCTCATTACAGGGTGTCGGCTTTTGTGAAGGTGGGGTCAATAATCATGGCCGGCGGAACCGCTTTTTGGCAAAAAATATATAATGCCTGTAGATTTTTGTATGATCGGAAAAAATGCAAGAAAAGAAAGAGGGAATTAGGAGGAGAAAGATGGAAAGAGAATGTTTATCCAGTCCCCGACCGGATCTGGGGGAGGGGGTCATGGGCCCTGACCCCTCCCTTGGGCAACAAGAAAAAAAGAACAAAAAAAGAATTTTAGACATACCTTTTCAGGACCCGTGAGCTGATCTAGGATTCAAAATTTTCCCGGAGAAGAACCCCCGACCGGACCACCCTTTCTTTTTGGGATTTATCGATTCATGGAAAAAAAGAAAACGCACGCAACTACTCATTTTTTTATGTATGTATACACGCATAAAATAAAAAGTGAGAAAAATTTACCTAACCGTTTTCAAGAGGGGAAAACCTTTAATTTTTAAGAACTTAAAAAGGCATTAAAAAGACCTTTCAGAAGTCATGAAAACTCATTTCCCGCATTCTAGAAATCGAAATTTTCCAGGGGGAACCCGGACTCCCCTTTTCTTTGAGGTTCATTGACTCATTGAATCATTTTCAAGAGGGGGAAACCTTGAATTTTGAAGAAATTAAAAGTAATTAAAAGACACATCAGAAGTCGGGAAAGCTCATTTCCCGCCTTCTAGGAATTAAAATTTTCCCTTTGGAGAACCGCCGGACCCCCTTTCTTTTGGGGATTTATCGATTCATAAAAATAAAAAAAAAGATTTGTATGCAAAAACTCAATATTTTTTTTATGTACCGGTATGTATACACATATAAGGCCTATTTACTGCAATAACAAGTAGACAAATTTAATTTACTTTATTTTTAAATTAAAAGTAATTATAAGGCACCCCATAAGTCGGAAAAGCTCATTTCACGCCATCTAGGAATCAACATTTTCGTGGGGGAGAACCCCGGACCACCGTTTTCTTTGGAGCTTATCGATTCATTGAAAAAAGAATACGTATGCAACTACTCATTTTTTTGTATGTATGCATACACACATAAGGCCTATTTCCTGTAACAACAATGTGAAAAAATTACCTGACCGTTTTCAAGAGGGGAAAACCTTGAATTTTGAAGAACTTAAAAGTAATTAAGACACCTCATAAGTCGGAAAAGCTCATTTCCCGCCATCTAGGAATCAAAATTGTCTCAGGGGAGAACCCCCGGACCCCCACCTATTTGCTTTTAAGCTTATCGATTCATTGAAAAAAGAATACGTATCACAACTACTCATTTTTTTTTTATGTATGTATGTATACACACATAACTATAATTATAAGGCACCCCATAAGTCGGAAAAGCTCATTTCACGCCATCTAGGAATCAACATTTTCGTGGGGGAGAACCCCGGACCACCGTTTTCTTTGGAGCTTATCGATTCATTGAAAAAAGAATACGTATGCAACTACTCATTTTTTTGTATGTATGCATACACACATAAGGCCTATTTCCTGTAACAACAATGTGAAAAAATTACCTGACCGTTTTCAAGAGGGGAAAACCTTGAATTTTGAAGAACTTAAAAGTAATTAAGACACCTCATAAGTCGGAAAAGCTCATTTCCCGCCATCTAGGAATCAAAATTGTCTCAGCGGAGAACCCCCGGACCCCCACCTATTTGCTTTTAAGCTTATCGATTCATTGAAAAAAGAATACGTATCACAACTACTCATTTTTTTTTTAATGTATGTATGTATACACACATAACTGGCCAATTTACTGTAATAAGAATGAGAAAGTTTACCTAACCGTTTTCAAGAGGGGAAAACTTTTAATTTTGAAGAACAAAGTCATAATAGACACCTAGCTCAAAGGTCGAGAAAGGTAATTTCCCTTCATCTAGAAATCAACATTTTCCCAGGGAGGACCCCCGGATAACCCCTTTCGTTTTTGGGAAAAATGTTGATCCCCACCCCTAGGTTTGATTCCAGATCTGCATGATTCATATACCCATTCATCTTAAAAGTGGGCCCCCCACCCCACTTCCGCCGGTCCTGATAATGATGTAAACGTTTACTTATAGAATTCCATTTTAATTACTATTTTGACCTAACCAATGTGTTGACTGAAGCGACTCCAATATTAGTCAACTTGACAAGTAAGTTAGTGAACCTGGTGCCGAGGCACCCCATCCTAAAAATAAGCTTCTTATTAGTTTTGGGTTAAGATTCCTTGCTTTTCCAAGGCGAATTTCAACATCTTAATAGATGTTGTTGCTATCACGATTTACAAAATCATTCACCATTTAATGCTTTTGTCAGAAAGTGAGGTAGGCCTACCATTTATGTTGTTAAATATGAACTCGGTTTTTTGGGCTTTACAGTAGGCCTACATACTGTAACCAAATCTGTATAGCATTAAAAACACTGGGTTGGAGCAATAATGTTGCATTAGCTACATTAGCTATAGTGTTAAATGTGAGGGCCTATATCATCAGTGTAATCTATAGCTGTAATCTTCTGTTCTGGATACCAATGACTTCTTGCCTTATGAAAAGTAAAAGAAAACCTAGTTCTTTATTAACACATATCAATGCCTTTGTATTTCGGTAGAACATCACAAGTGTTGAGTGGTATACAATGTTATAAAATATACATCTTTTTAAATATTACATTTTTTTTACAAAAATATAAGAATATAGTATAATTTGAAATGCTTTTGCATTAAGCAAAAGGTCTTCATCAACCCAGATTCCTACACAATGTCGAATATTATATATTTGTATTTAGAAAATGGGAGCTACTATAACACAGGGTTTAATATATCCTGGTTTCTTTTTTTTTAAATTTTATAAAATTGGCCCTACAGGTATTCTTCCAATTACAGACCACTTTTGGGACCATCTTTTGTCTCCAATTAAAATAAGAGCAATAAATATGTAGTTTTTAATCTGGGACCACAGAAAAGTGGTATTTAATTGGAGGGGTCTTAATTAGAGGGAGACATATAAGTAAAATATAGAGTTTCCATCACAGTCTCATCCAATACTGCCCGGACATCGGTTAAGCATGCAATCTCTTCCTGTTTCCTGAAGGGTAATTGCATAAAATCAGCAGAGACCTGTCAATGCATTTGGAATACTTTCATTTCATTTATTTATTCGACCAATACACATTATTTACAATAGGTACAGTACAACAAATGTTGGTCTGGGGCGCTTAAGCAAAATGTGACTATAACTCATTGAATAATAAATAGGCCTACCATAATTCGAAAATTCAAACTTGTTCTTTGCTTAGATACTTTAACATAAAATCATATATCATTTATTACATACTAAAAATTACGTCCCTAAAATGACATGGTTAAAGAAAATATTAAACTATTTCGAGGGAACAAAATAATATTTCGAGGGAACAAAATAATATTTTGAGGGAACAAAATAATATTTCGAAGGAATAAAATCATTTCGAGGGAACGAAATTATATTTCGTTCGAACGAAATATTATTTATTATTTCGTTCCCTCGAATTCCCTCGTAATCATTTTAAGGGAACGAAATCATGTCGTACCCTCGAAATATTATTTCGTTCCTTCGAAATATTATTTCGTTTCCTCAAAATATTATTGAGTTCCCTCGAAACATTATTGAGTTCCCTCGAAACATTACTTCGTTCCCTCGATATAATATTTCGTTCCATCGAAATATTATTTCGTTCCCTCGAAATAGTTTAATATATTTTTTTTTATCATGTCCCTTTAGGGGCTCCGTAGTTGTGGACCACGCCAATATGTAATTCAGCACATTCCGCTGCAAGTATTAGATACTTCCTATCTTTACGTTTTTACCATCCGTCCCAATGCAAGCCTATTCTAGGTCTACGCTGTTAAGCGTAAGAACACTTTCTGTAATGCATAGGTCTACATACAATCATAACATTTTGCTCGTAAGCTAATGGAGACAATGATAGGCCTATGTAAAATACACAATAGCAACTTTGAAATAAAAATGGTAGGTGGTTGACTTACCAGTTATAGGGCAGGATGAGCAAGTCATTGGCACATCATTTCGAGGGAACGAAATATTTTTGAGGAAACGAAATACTGTATTATTATATTTCATTATTCATTTCATAATTTAATATTTTTTTCTGACCATGTCCCTTTAGGCTATCCGTACCAAACATATAGTAGGAGTCACTTAGAAATTTTACAGCATTTAAATCAACACCAAAGTCCTTGGTTTTGTTAATTTGTCTTCAGAGTTGACTGTAACTATCACATAGCATGATTTTCATTTTTTCGTAGCAGCTGATATTGCTTATTGACCAAAAATGAAATTTTATTTTTATTCGAAATCATCATTGGCAGGTCTTCAGAGTTGACTGTAACTATCACATAGTGTGATATATATTTATAACAAACCATTTTCAATTTGTATTTTAAATTTCCTTAAAACAAAATCATGCTTAGGCCTATGAGTTATAATTATAGTAGGACTATAATAATAATAATAATGCTGATGCATATTTACATATTTTAGCTTTAAAATTCAAACACTGTGTACAATGGGGAAGGGGGTTGTGGGGGTGCACGTGAGACGTGGATATATCCTTGGGGGTTATCACAGTTGGGATGATCTTTTGACTTGTAAAATCCAATGATGTTAAACAAGACATAAACCATTGCATCAGTATGTGTACACCTTCACTGCTTGTCATACCAAACACAAACCATTGTATCAGTATACACCACAGGTGGGCAAAATGTTTGTTTGCTGCCAGCAACAATTAATTAAAAACCCTATGTGTGCGGCGTGAAAAGCAAAATTGGTTAGAAAAAACATCCTTGTTTTTTACGATCCCCATCATATGTAAAAAGTAACATTAAAACTGAGAATAAAGTGGTGTAAAAGCAGTGCTTGGAGGTTTTTGAAAACTCACTGGAAACATCAATGTTTGGTGGCAGCCCTCGGTATTAAATCAAAACTTCACATTGGCCCTCCGACCGATTTTGATGCCAACCCCTGGTATACACCATCACTGTTAGTCATACCAGACACAATCACTGCATAATACACCATCACCTTATAAACCATCAACTCACTGCATCAGTTATGAATACACCCATCACTGCTACTCAACATCAGTAATAAAAAAAACACATGCAACAATTGACAGAAATGCTATTTTTATTTCTCATGTTTCAATAAAAATGATAGATTGAATTCCACATATTACTGAAAATTGTTATCAACAATGATATTAATCATATCTTTAATGTAACAATCATGAAAGTACTGTTCTGAAGTTATTCATAATTATGAAATACATGTGCCTTTGTTAAGTTATATAGAAGGGTCTATAAAAATATGAAGGTTCAGGTTCATTTAACAAGGTCTCGCAAACATACTGACACGGAAATTTATTTATAATAAAATAATATTAGTAAACCATTTCTACAACATTCCATATATATATTTTTTAAAACATTATTATTATGCATAATTGTTATGTTTAATATTTAAATTCATCATAATATATACAGTACAATATACATTGTATTAAATTGTAATGTATAATCATATTAATAATTATAAACAATACTAGTAATAATAATAATATATTAATTCTCTCGTAAACAAATACTGGAGGAGGGCGAAGTCAAGGAGGAACGAAGTTCCTGTACAAGGTTTGGCAGCCTGCAGAAATAAAACACCACAGCATTGGTTAGATTATCCAATGTACTCTATGAAGACCACAGCATTGGTTAGATTATCCAATGTACTCTATGAAGAAATAAAGATTAAATATTGAATTTAAATTATTACTTAACATGAGTATTTATAATAATCTGTTAAATTTATTATGTTTATGCTTATTGTTTTGTTCTTGTTTTTTTTTTTGTAGTTTAATTATAAAAAAAAGTGCACTACCAAAAAAAAAAAAAAAAAAAAAATATGGAATGAAATATTAAAATAAATGTTCAGGCAATAATAATTAAATATGCATTGAAAAACTGAATCAAACATAAATAGTAGGCCAATAAACAGCAGTACTAAATGTAAACATGGTAAAATGATGAAAAGTGAAAAGAAAAAGTATATAAAATAAATATATATGTTACCATAAAACTTTTTTGAGTAATCATTCCTTAGTTTTCCATAGTGGACTATTAGGTATATAATATGCATCAGAATAGAATATCCCACCCATGCTTTCAATTCATCCATTGCATCATTGTTATTGATACCAGCCAACATGTATTAAAGTTGTCTCCTCTAGAACTTGGAATACCCAACTGGTAAGAATTTACTACACTGTTATGTATTCAATGTTCATTATTTTTTTAATTAAAATTCTAATCTATCCAATGAAAGAATACAATACTTTTACCATTTTAGATTTCATTTTACTTACATATATAAAAAGGTATTTCTGAATTTTTCATTTTTGAACAATGACCATATTTATTTGAATAGCACCTCCCCCTTTGAATTATAAAATCCCCCTTGAATAAACCCCCTCTGGAGCCTCATTTAGAATACACGCCTCCAATGATAAATTGCAACGGTCGTTTCTTTCCCTTGAATAAACGCCCCACCTCATTAAATGACAGAAAACACTAAACACATCTAATGGAAGAAACATCATCCTCAACACTAATGTCCTATTCCAGTAGAATGAAATTTTTTCTAACTTGATTAGGAATTATGATCACGCAACACCACATTCTGATGGTAATTTTGTGTTGTAGTAACCACATTTACAGTAAATTTAAGTGATAGTTACTTGAGTAATACGTATCCATTTTACACCAAAAAATAAATGCCTCCCTTGAATATTAGTTGTTACTTCAATTCTGGTATATGACGAATTCTGGAATATGGTCCCTATGGACATAATTATCTTCAGTCCTGATGATGTTCAATAAACAATGAAATATTGAATCACTATGGCTTCTCTTGGTCTTTTTGGAGTCTGCATGATCTTATATCCCATCTTATATTATCTAAATATAATCAGTGGACCACTTGGTTATTGTTATTTGATATTTCTGTTTTTTCCATTATTACAAATGAAATCTAAAGAAACTGCTAGAAATATGTTAGTTATATATAGTACTGAAGTGTTCAGATTTTGATATGAAATGTTTACAAATTAAGTTTGAGAAAACATCACCATATATTCCCGAATGATTTGAGTGTTTTGCTGTGTGTTTGCTTCAATCTTCTGATAGATCTACATTTTTTGCTTTTCACACCACATTGATGTGCCGAGTTCAAAACCACACTCTTGTAACGAAAGAAACAAATGTACGATAAAAAAACTAGATTTAATCCTTTCTTTCACAAGCTGTTAATTTCATGAAGTAATGAACTCACTTAAATTTGCCATGGACTTTTAAAGTTAATAGCTATTAACAACAATTGATTTGCATATATAGCATCCAATCATGAACCAGTACGCTAGTTCTGAATAAGAAAACCAAATCAAATACCAGAAATGGAACACGGTGATTAGTTGATAATGTAGAAGAAAGGAGCTGCACTGCGAGGACATTGTTTATTACTGAAGCTTTCATTGTAACATTGTAATTATTATCAGGCCAAAATAAAAATGATTAAAAATTGTTATGATGTCACTTTGATTATGGGAGTAATTCCACTGAAACGGTTTGTGATTCTCACCGGTAAACCCAACTTCATAAAATTCCGCCTCCCCATACCGCACTATGAAACTCTAATATTCCGCACCACATTCAGTACAACATGCCATGCAGCATGCTCTTTATGCATTGTTAAGCACTCTAGTTCTGTTGTTCTACTATTACTGTATGTATAGTGTTACGTATGTTTAAATTGGCTAAGAGAGTCAGAAACCAGCACCCTCATTGCATTGAGTGTGTCAAGTTGCAGGTAAACAAAGCAGTGCTGCTGGTTTCTTCTGCTTATTTTTTACTGGTTTCAGTTTAGGACATTAATAATAATAATAAGATTTATAAAGCGCACAAATCCAAGGCGCTAAAGGAAGGAAAAGAAAATTACCATGAACCTAAAGCTAAAAGAAAAGAAACACCACACCATCACCGCACCGTTTGCAGGCATTTTAAGGCACAGGGGCCCCCTATTCATTACTCACAGGTGCTCAAGTAATGGGAGTATCTAACTAAAACAATTAAGCAAGCAAGCAAAACAAACCGGAGAACTAGGAAAAAGCAGCCGACAGCAGATGCGTCTTGAGAGCTTTTTCGAACAAAGCAGTAGACTGATATGAGCAAATATTTATTGGCAGTTTATTCCAAAGGCGTGGAGCTGCAACAACAAATGATCGATCACCCCATGAACGTGTAGACCGAGGCTCAACAAGCAGAAGTTTGTCAGTACCAGAGTGGAGAGTTCGCGATGGCACGTACCACATAAGCAGTTCACAAAGATACCCAGGACCCTTATAGAGTCTTAAAAGTAATGAGCAAAATCTTGAAAATGCTCCTGAAATAAACAGGTAGCCAATGAAGTTCTTGTAAAATCGGAGTGATGTGCTCAAATTTCTTTGTTCCTGTAATGATCCTAGCTGATGTATTCTGCAACAGTTGAAGGCGATGCATGGATCTCTTAGAAATATCAAAAGAGAGAATTCCCAAAGTCAAGATATGAAGTAACGAATGCATGAATCAGTTGTGCTGTTGCTTTCCTAGAGAGGTACTTCCTAATCCTTATATTGTGCAAGTGAAAGTAGAGGAGCTAGTAATTTTGGAAATATGCCTATTCAAGGTCATTGAAGAATCAAGTGTAATACCCAAATTCTTAACTTGAGGTACCTGATCGATCTGACATTTACCAATGTTGAATTGGAGGTCTTGGCATTTCTTCTTTTGTTGAGGTGAACCGAAGATGATGAATTCAGTCTTGTCCTCATTTAGTTGCAGAAAGTTTTCAGACATCCAGGACTTCAACTCAAAAATACAATTTTTGAGAGATTCTACATTTACATCAACCTTCTCGGAAGGTTTGAAGGAAATATAGATCTGTGTATCGTCAGGTCCCAAAATTGACCCTTGAGGAATGGAATAGTCAAGACAGAAAAAGTCAGACATGAGTTCCCAACACAAACTCTTTGTGGACGACGAGAAAGGTAGGAGGAGCACCAGCTTAGAGCGTCTCCTTCTAGACCTATATAATGCTTGAGGCGACCTAATAGTAATGTGTGACCAACGGTATCAAATGCAGCGCTAAGATCAAATAAAATGAGTGCAGTGAGTCGTCCTTTATCCATTTCTTGGAGAATATCATTAGAGACACGAAGTAGTGCAGTCTCAACACTGTGATGTGGCCGGTATGCGAACTGAAAAGGATCAAATAAATTGTATGCATTAATATTTGATGAGCGAGACGTCTGAAAACAAGGCGTTCAATCGTCTTTCCAAGGAACTTCAAGTTTGATGCTGGTCTGTAATTTTTAAACTCTTCACGATCTAAGCAAGGCTTCTTAATTAGAGGTCTGATATGACAAATCTTCAGAGCATCGGGAAAGTTTCCCTCTTCCAGACTTCTATTGACAATTAATGTGATAGATGGTAAAACAACATGAAGACACCTCTTTAACAGAGTAGTAGGGATGGGATCAAGGTCAGATGATGATTTGCATGGTGAACTGCTAATAATTGATCTAATTTCATCTTCATCAGCAAGCTTTAATTTCAACAAAGTGAGTCTATTTGCAGGAGCATCAACCGATCCTAAAGCAAATTCAAGGGGGTTTTCATTAACAGTCAAAGCATCACGGATAGTTTGAATCTTGTTGACGAAGAAGTCAGCAAAACTGACAGCAAGAGCTTTATCGGAGTCATGGGTTGGCAATACAGGTGTGGTTCTTTTCTGCATTAGCTCATCAAGAACTGCAAATAGTTTCTTTTGATCACCACTGGAGTCCGCAATCTTAGTAGAATAGTAAGCAACCTTTGCCTCTTCAATCAAAGTGTTAGCAACACGCCTTTGCCTACAATAGTTTTCTCTGTCGATACTACGTCGACTACAGGTTAATTTCTGAGCTTTCTGGTTCCCTGTTTTTTTGGTTTTTTTTTCTATCTAGCATTTTGAGCACTTCCTAAGTGGATATATGTGCTATAAAATTGTATCAATATAAAAAATAACTTCTTTGTAATAGCATTATCTGTATTATGTATTTAAAAAATACTAAAAATACAAATTACCTTTTCTACTAGATACAAAGTTTAACTCCCCTACTACGACACTCTTTAACCATCTCATCCATTACAGCACATGAGATTCTGCAATTACTCATGCCAAGACAATTCAGCTTAGGAGCTACAGCCAACAAAGTGGCAAGTGAGGAATCTTTGATTTCATTGAGGTTATTTCCACTGATATAAAGACCTTTTAATTCCAACACAACTCCCCTACTAGAACACTCTTTAACTATATCATCCATTACAGCACCTGAGATACTGCAATTACTCATGTTAAGAACACTCAGCTTAGGCGCTACAGCAAGCAAAGTGGCAAGTGAGGAACCTTTGATGTCATTGAGGTTATTTCCACTGATATAAAGCCATGTTAATTGCAACACAACTCCCCTACTAGAACAATCTTTAACCATATCATCCATTACAGCACCTGAGATACTGCAATTAATCATGTAAAGATCATTCAGCTTAGGAGCTACAGCAAGCAAAGTGGCAAGTGAGGAACCTTTGATGTCATTGAGGTTATTTCCACTGATATTAAGGTTGGTTAATTCCAACACAGCTCCCCTACTAGAACACTCTTTAAACATATCCTCCATTACAGTACCTGAGATACTGCAATTTCTCATTTCAAGATCATTCAGCTTAGGAGCTACAGCAAGCAAAGTGGCAAGTGAGGAACCTTTGATATCACTGAGGTTATTTCCACTGATATTAAGATCTGTTAATTCCACCACAACTCCTTCTTGATACAATGCTTCAGCAATCTCATTCACATTAACACCTTTTATATCACAATATTCTAATTGAAGAAACCGAAGTATTGGTGCACTACACAGTAGATGAATTAAAAATGATACATTAATTGATTTGGAACTATAGAAGTATTCTGTAATATTGTATTTGAAATTTAATTTCTTACATTCAGTTGATAAACTACTGACAATATCATTAGTACATAATTCATGGATTTCCATTAAAACATTTCCTTCATCTTGTACTGCAATTAAAACATGAGCAAACATTTTACCAATGTCTTCAGATGATTGTTTCTTCAATTCAGTTATTGAATCCTTTATGTTTATCCACTTTACTCTTTCACTCATCAGTTGAAAGATCTGCTCATTTGATTCTGAGATTACGTTCATATGCAGGATCATGACCTGACTAAACATCCTTAGTGATTTGCATATGTCTTCTATGTGACTTTCATATTTCATTGAACCTTTACTTGGCAGCTCTTGAGTGACTGATGGTTCACTGTCATCCATATCTTAAAAGAGAAACAATTTACTAATCAAAGTATGTTATTATTTGAGGTATACTTATTCAAAATTCAAAACATACATAGCAGCAAGAAGGCTGAATTGGGTAAGGATTTACAAAGGAAAAATATTAAATTGGCATAAAAATGACAACACAAACAAATACAGTAAATCACACACCAAGATGACATACAAAATAGAAAAATCGTGAAAAAGCAATAAAAATAATCAATTGATATGAAGGAAACTTTTGTGAAAGTTTAACCATGGAGGTATTATTGAGGAGATCACTCGGCAACAGTTCCCTTTGACGCGACAAACCCGTGTGTTCCCCGCTTTTGCATCGCGCACGGGCCTATTACCCTATAATTCACATTTTTTCGTTAGCAACAACTTGGCAACGATATGCATTTAAACGCTTCCAGCAGAGCAGTTGTGCAATAAAGCGTTTGAATTTAACCCATTAAATATCTTTATAATGAACAGTGTTCCCCTGATTAGATTTTTTCGGACTTTTGGTATGTTATTTTTTGTATATTTCAGGAACGGATTCCATAAAATATTTATGTTAAAATTACTTCTGTGTAACTAAAGAATGCGTGCACACCTGTGTTTCAAAACATGAATATAATATAGCGTAACAGTAATGAAACTAAGAAGTTGACTTTAGAAACATTAAAATTTAAGATTCTGGATAATATATACTAAAAAGGCAAATGGGAAAACCCCACAGCAAACGGCCATATAATGCAAAACAATTTAAAATTAAATCGGAACAGTAGACTTGGCCATTGTCTTTCCTCGCTTGTCAACGATTGACGGCACGAAAAAAAAGATAAGGAGCGCGCAAGTTCCACTAGGCTCTTTCCCACAGCCGTTGATTTTTTTCCCATTGACCCGATGTCAAAGGTCATGAAAGCACCGAATGATAAAAGAACCGTACGTAATGATGAAAATGCCGAAAGGTAAAACTAAAAAGCACCAAATGATGAAAGATCCGTAAGTGTGGCAAAAGCACCGAAAGTAATGTTTCAAAGCACCGGATGTAATGTTAATAAAAGCACCGAACGTAATGTAAAAAGCACTGAACGTAATGTAAAAAGCACCGAACGTAATGTAAAAGCACCGAACGTAATGTAAAAAGCACCGAACGTAATGTAAAAAGCACCGAACATAATGTAAAAACACCTAACGTAATGTAAAAAGCACCAAACTTAATGTTAAAAGGGCCGAATAGCAAATGCGCCGAATGGAAAAGAGCCACCAAAGGCAGTAATGGCATTCCATATTGGCGCACGGTTGGTTTGTCTGTTTATCTGTTCTCCACAAGATACTGTACTTTTGTTTTTCTGCTTACTGAGTTTATAGCGGGCGTACTTCTCCTGCGCTGCGCAGCGCTGGGTAATAAAAAGAACATACAAACGTTAGTGGACTTCCTACACAGGCGTGACGTTTTTACGAACGGGACTTTGCTCTCTTGTTCTATTTATACTCTTTGGTAGCAGCCAGGAGACCTACGTTGGCCTATACATTGGCTGAATAAGCCAGTGGAAAGGGGATGTAAAATGTCTTTAAAAAAATGATTTACTCATTATGTAGGTTAAATTTTAGGCCAAAATATCGTCGTCAGCTTAGCTAGGCCTTACTTGTTTGGGGTGAAAAGGAAAAATTTTTTGTGTTGTAGAGGCTAGCATTTTTATTCAAAAAAGGGCACTTCAGGAAAAAGGGGGTTTCGTTCGAACCCTACGAACCTCCCTGGCTATGGGCTTGAAACGGAAGAAATTATCAAGCACTGGTCATGATCCAAATTCGAGTGTGAACTTCAGGGTCATAAATTGTTAAGTTTGTGCGTGTTTCTTGTCCTCAAAATATCTCGAAAACAGCTGCACACTTAAATGGAAGTTCCAGGGAATGTTAGGTATGACCCAAGGATGAGGTGATTAAATTTTGGTGACCATCTGGAGTAGAGTGTGGATATGAGGACCATTCAAACGAAAATGTCTCAGAACAGATATTTCAAAAACTAATTGACTGACATGAATGAATATTTTGTGAAACTTCAACCAAGTTTAACAAGGAAGAAATTATGAAGTATTGGTGACAATCCAAATTTGGGTACGCATGAAGGCCAAAAGGTTCCAGACCTAAATATCTTGAAAATGGATAAAAATGGATAAAATTTACAATTGGCAGAATAATTTGTTTCAGTTGTGTTCATGATCCAACATAGGGTGTGGATATGAGGACTATTTAAAAATAAGTTAACCGTATTACCGTAAGCAGAAACAATAACTATATGACGAATATTTAAATAATAGTGCAATTACAGTAAAGATGTACAGTGTTTTATATGTACTAACTTCACTTTTTTCTGGAAGTATTGGGAATATGTTTAACACATCTTTAAATTTAAACATGTGACAGTAAAAACCATATTTCTATTTCTATAATATTTCCATTTCAACACCAATACATTGCATGTATTTTGTTCGTCAGCTATAAGAGTAAAACGTGCCAGTAGGATAAGGCAGAAGATGTACAACTGACAGGTGTATAACTGATACAATAACAGCAGGAATTGTGAATATTCCTACTGATGATGTGAGTTGCAACCTGATATTTTTGATTGATTACTTTCCGTCAATTTTAACACAGAAAACCTTAGTTCATTCATATAATTAGGAAACTAATTTTAAAACGCCAATGTGCTTATAGATCAGGAAACCAGATCCGCTTATATCATAGTAAAGTTTGTAGTGAGATTAGAATGGCTAAGAAACATTTTCAACTACCATAAAATGATTGCATCACTTCATGAGCCTCATAGATGGCATAGGGAGGTCCGGAAATGGGAAAGAATAAAGTACAATATATGATGGTGAAACCAGGTAGCAATCTTCAGGATAGGAGTGATGTTTTGCCCTACCAGACATTTTATCGTACCTAATATTCAGTATCTCCCCAAATACTAGCAAAAAAAAATTTGCAAGTTATTCGGATGGAAATCGAACCCACAGCCTCTAGGTAACTAGCCTGATGTCTTAACAACTAGACCACTGAGCTTGCGCTTGATAGCTAGTGATGAATCTGATCCCTAAGTAACAACAGGTACTGCAAGTGTTATTAACATATGAGTTTGTGTCAAGACAATATCATAGGGGTGATGTTTTGCCCTACATAACATAATTCACAAGTGATTCGGGTGGGGATCGAACCCATGACCTCCAGGTAACTAGCTTGATGTCAGAAAAATATCATAGGAGTGATGTTTTGCCCTACCTGACATTTTTACCTGATATTTTCTTAATAACCTTCAGGATATTGTAAATAATCTCAATATACATTTTGCTGGTATCTGTTCTCAGTTACCTTGTTGGATCTTAACAACTAACCTGCTTTCTTCCAACTTCCAGTACACCAATTATATATCCTGAACAAGTATAAGCTATAAAAACTACCAAGTCATCCTAATGACTTAACATTGCGATTATTAAAAAGTTTGCTTCTGAACTTGCGTCGCCCTAGTCTGACATTTTTAACATTTTTCTTCAGAGCTATATCTTTCCTAGTGTTTGGAAGAAAACTAATGTGTCTCCTGTGCCTAAGAGGCCAAATGCAACAAGATCTGATGAGCACCGTACAATAGCTACAACACCAGTCTTCAGAGGTATCTTTGAGGGTTTTCCAGCAGATATATCATCAGCTTTCTGCCCTCTTATTAAACTTCAACAATTTGGTATAAACTCAAATGTGTGCTCATTAAAACATTATTAGTCCAACTTGGTCATCATATCTTGTTGGTTACAGACATACCTGGAATGTATGCATCAATCTGTACAGCCGACTTTAGTAAAGTGTTAGATTGTGTTAATCACTCCGTCTTGATTAATAGATTGATTGATAAACACATTTCACTTCCTATAATTCCCACTATGTATAGTTTCTTTCCAAAGAACTCAATGTATGCGTTTGGGTGGGGCAATTTGTACTTCTGAGTCTATTTTTTTTTTTTAGATCATCAGAGAAGGGTGAAAAAAAAATGTTGTTCCTTCTTTTCAAACAGTTTTGCCAAAAATATCTAAACAGAGGAGAATATAAAAATTAAATGTTATTGGTGAATGTAAACAGTGCAGTTATAAGATGGTAAAATGTTTTAAATTTTGTATAATTAGGAAAAAATATACATATCTTATCTTTGGAGATTTCGAGGCAGCAAAAGTCATAATAAAAATAAAGAAAAACTTTCTATTTTTTGTGGCAGTGGGTAATAGGCCAAAAAAAAAAAAATTTTATTTGAAATCATCATTATTGGTGGGCGGCAGGTTCGCTAACAGTGGTGGCGCCAAAGGGGGGCTGGGGGCTATAGCGCCCCTATCGGGGAAGCATAGCCCCCTGTTGGGGGAGACGAGTATATTCTGTCGGGGGATAAACAAATAAAAAAAATATTTACATGTAATGTTCGTTAGCCACCACATTGTTTTCATTAAACTATTTGTGCTATTAATAATAATAATAATAATAGTTCAATGAGACTAATTAAAAATAATTTGCGTTCTGTTATGACAAATTCTTGTTAGGATAGCCTCATGATGCTTGAAATACATGATGATTGGTGAAGCAACCGCGACCATGACAGCATGGTTGACAGATTTCATGGAAAATTTCCAAAATGTAAAATTTCACTTTCAAGAATGAGAACTTAAAATAAATTAGATGGTTACATTGCATACGCTTTGGTTTATTTATTTACATTTTTATAGCGCCCTTTCCATTAAGTAATCATGTTCAACGGCGCTTCACATGGTTCTTGTTTTATTCAAAATGTTTTATTTTATTCAAAATGTTTTGGTTTTGGAAGCTGATTTCGACATTAAAAAACATAGCCTACATGCAGTCATACTATAGTAACTCGATGCCTATCAAAATAAGTAATAAAAATTCGCCATAATTCGTCAAGTATCCGTAGCTTCCAGGGGGACCCTGGACCCCCACCGGGGGCCCTAGGCAGCTCCTTGGCCCCTAGCCAAGTGAGACTCAATTCGCTTCACTAGCGCCCCTGTCGGGGCCTTTAGCCCCTCCGTCGGGCAGGTCCCGGCGCCATCACTGTTTGCTAAACAAGGTATAAAAAATGTCTTACCTTACTTGTGGTATTTCACAAGGTACCAAGTTAGGATCCAGTGTTTTTACAGTAATGTTAAATGATCTGACATTAATGGAAAATTTTAGACGACTCAATGATCAGTGAAATGAACACATTCAGATAAGATTGTGTTAGCCAACTGTAAAGTCATTTTGACCATCTGCAAAGCTGGTGCATTATAAACGACATGATTCCATATCCATCTAAATTCCAATTTATGCACATTCATTTTCTGAACCCTAATTCATTCCCCTGTCATGGAAGGTCGAGTTACCTTTAGTTCCTCAATGTATCAAGCTACTTGGAGTGCACATTCAAAGCAATATGATAGTGGGATGTGCAATGAAGGCGATGATCTCTAAACCTTCTCGATGTCTTTATATACTTTAGGTATTTTAGGTATTGAGATTGTTTGGAGCTTCAAGAAATGATCTTGTTTTCATATACATTACGTATGTGAGACCATTGTCTGCTATGGCATGCCTCTATGAAGGCACAGTACAATTTCCCTTTCTTTTTTTGCAGTGCCTTTTTCACTAGGGTGTCTAAAATAAACGCATTGTCAGTGGTGCTATAATATTTCCTAAACCCTGCCTGTTCTTCAACCCATACCCTACTCTAGTTTCTACATTTTCAACATTTACTAAATATTAATAATAGTGTGATAGGTCGGTAGTTTGCTGGGTTGTTTGGGTTGTTATTCTTATGGATTGGTACTATAATTCCATAAGACCATTTACTTGGAAATTCACCCAATTTTAGAATTTTATTGAAAATTAAAATAATGCAATTCAGAAAACCACCCGGCCCATTGCCACCATAGGCCCTTTGCCTCCCAGGTATAGTAGGTCTATGCATTGTATTTGCAGAAATTTTACTCTCTGTATTTTTGCCAAACTATGTGTACTGAATGACGAATGAATTGATTGTTTGGCAGATTGTAAACAATGACAATTCGTTGCAGTTAACCATCATGAAAGGCACACGTGTGAGGTTCCTGATTAGCATTCTATCTTTATTTGTATGTATTCAGATGTACATATGTACATGTTTTCTGAGTATGTACTGTTTTTAGTAGTTAGTGTGTGTGTATGCTTTTTTACATTTTTTTGGAAAGGCAGAACATCATGAATTAAAAATCTTGTAGTGTTATAAATTGAACAGATTTTTTATTTTTATTTTATTGACTTGCCTTTGAGTGTGGAAATAATAATGAACATATATATAGTGAAAATGATGAAAATAGCAATGATAAGCTATTATTATTAACATGTTGAATATGTTAATGCTGCTACCGCTATAAGAAATGGGCCTATGCCCATACATATGTACACCTCTCACAATTTGTTGTTTTTAAGATATTAAGCCAAATGTATGATCATATATAGCTCTGGTATACCAATAGAAAAAACATGGGGGCTGTATGGCAAAAGGCCTAGGTGGCAACTGGCCTAGGGTGGCGAAAGGCCGGGTGGCAACGGGCCGGGTGGAAACGGGCCGGGTGGCAACAGGTCGCGTGGCAACGGGCCGGGTGGCAACGGGCCGGAACCCATGGATATCCTCTAACTGTTTATTGATTCCATTTAATTTAATGAAATCATCATCAATTTTAAGATTATCCTCCCAAACATAATTATTATTGTTTGGTTACAATTATCACAAGTTTCTATAGATTTGTTACAACCAAGTCTGATACTGGTTTCAACTGGCATGTGATCGGATACACTGATATCAATAATTTTGAAGTGTTTAAAAAAACTATTAAATAATAGGCACTGGCAATTATGTAATCTGTAACACTTTTGCCTTGGTAACCAAGGAAAGTAAAATCACCGATTCCTTTATCTTTACTAATCCTACCATTTAAAATTCACACATTTTTGCAGAAATCTATGAATTTGTTACCCTGGGTATTTACTGAGTAATTACTAGAGTATCTTTCTTGTGTATATAATTCAGGAGGGTCAGACATTGAAATGATATTGTAATCTTCAAAAGTTCATTCAGTGAACCTGAAGGAGTACAGATAAATGATATTGTATATATTATTTTTCTGTTGTATCATTAAATTTTTATAATATGTCGTTCTTATATAGCGCTTAATGCCTTAACAAAGCCTCTAAGCGCTTCACATTATTACCCCGGTCATTGGATCAAACACATATGGATCACATTGAACACTAAACGAAATTATTAAATTAAATTCCATAATATTGCGGCTAGTAATCAGCGCAGTGTTGGAACCTACCAGGTACCCACTTGTACTCCTGGGTGGAGAGAGGCAACCGTAGATAAAGTGCCTTGCCCAAGGACACAAGCGACTTGCACAGCGGGAGTTTCGAACCCCCGACCTCAAGGTTGGGCGTCCAAGCCACAACCGATGCGCCAACCACTTCTACTTTTAACCATATTATGTGATCATGCTTCAGGTTAACCTCTGTAACATTTATTTATCGAGGCCCCCCAAGTTTCTTAAACAATTCCATTTTAGGTATTTCATTTTTATCTGTTAACCTAGTCTCACTAAGAAAAATTGTCATGCTTTTTTATACAATAGCACACTCTGAGCTTATTGTCATCTTTTAATTTATTTAATAATTCGTCAACGTTCCATGTAACAATGCTAATATTTTCTGTTGGACCTTGGCCACCTCCCTATTTCAACTTGACAATCTTATCCTCTTCCTCGTTGTATGTGTAAACTGAATTTCCAATATATAGTTTGTCATATCTAGGTTGAAATTTCTTCTTTGCTGCAATAGCTTCTTGTATTTTTGGCCCCAGCTTTCTTCTTACATTTCTTATTCGTGTAGTGTAATCTTCACTGACTCCTATTTTATCTGTACTCTCGTTTCAAATCCTATCTTTGCTTTCGTTTCTTTTTTTTTACTTTGCGTCTTTTTAGTATCTCTTCCTTATATTTGTATTTGGAGAATTTAACTATTATTGGCCTAGGAGTATGTTTAGTATTTAGTCTGTGTGCTCAATCAATTTCAATTGAGTTGACCTGCACACCCAGATTTTCGATCATGCATTCCTTTATTTTCTCCTTGCAATCGGCCCACGTTTCATTTGGTTGTTTTGGAATGTTGTGAAAAATTCTCTCTTCTGCTTTAAGCTTCAATTTTATCCATCTTTGAAGCAAGTAATTTATTGATTTTAGCTGCTTATTTTCTTTTTCAACAGCTTCAATTCTTTCCGAAAGTGTGTTTACTGTTCCCATTAGGGTATCCATCTTTTGATTGATACTGTGTACATCCTGACCTATTTCTTTCCTTAACTCTTTCATTTCATTTAATATCTGTTTCAATGGGTCTTGTTCACTTGTTTTAGTTCCAAAAGCTTCTTTAATAGTTCCCTGTCTTGTAGTTAAAGGACCAGGGTTAAGCTCTATATCCCTGCGTTTATCAATGTGCATGCTATCACAAGTCCTAAAACTCTACCAAGAGGTAAACACCACAATGGTACAAGCTGCTTAACTTTCCCTGCTTTTCTATGCATATAATAGCCAATTCTTAGTCTCGATATTTCAATTGATATCATTGTTTTAACTGTTAAATTAAGTGCAACATATTCAAATAGCAATAAAATGTATTAATCAGATTGATTGTCATCTACAATACGAGGGCAGGTGCAATATAGGTGTACTTACACTATAGTTAATACTGTTTACTTTTCTTAATAGATGTGAGTGTAAGTATGTCTTCTCCTGTCGATAGAGGTTAGTGCCTAGGATTTCCTAGGCCTTGGGATTGGTATTTGAGAAAATCAACACACAGCGGTTGGTGGGAATTTCAAAATACCTTTATCAGTACAGCTGGGTTTAATACACAATGAAGAAGTAAACAACATACCTGGTCATAAAAAATCCACATAGAGTTTAAAATAACAGAAATTGAGCCTCCAGAAGCAAATAATGTAGAATCATCAGTATAATTGTAAATTTTCTTCAATAAGTTAGCGTAATTTACACTCAGAGCTCAGATAAAAACACATCCGCACAGTAGCTATCTGACTGAACTCCCAAATATTTTTTTGGGAGAATATAAGCTGTGTTCTTGTAACAATGTAAATATCAGTGTAGGTAAGCTCCAGGAGTGGATTGCTATAAAACGGTCTTAACTGGTAGTCTTAACTCCTTGAATAAAGCCGGCTTTATCACTTAGACAGTCTTACTAAAGACATTCCTCTAAGACCATTGCTATAAAACAGTCTTCCCTAAGACTGCTTTGGGTATTGAAATGCAAACAAGCACCCCCTGGTAATGTAAGATTGAGGGCAACGTCATGCTCGACACACGCAAATGTATCGAAATGGACGTAAATAAACGCCGTAGACCTATTTTTACAGACGTTGTGAGAAGTGTATGGAGCATTCGTCGTTCGATTCTCCGACTTTGACGATTTAGGCCTAGGTCTTGCCATTGCACTGTTGAATTAATCAGCAAAACGCCATGATGAAAATGATTTTTTAAGACCGTTTTAAGCCTCCTCCGAGTAGGCTTTAAAATTTAAGACGACTAACTGGTTAGACTGCGGTATAGCAATGGTCTATAATCATAGACCAGTAGTGACGTCCCGATTATAGCCGGCTAACCGTTAAGACCGCTTATAGCAATCTGCCCCAGATCTTAATGAATATTTAATTACAACTTGGTCTCTAGAGCCATAATGTGTTTTAATACCTTTATAAAAACATTTAAAAACTTACCTTGACCTGATGTAAGAAAACTTGGTTCAATGGAATATTCTTTTTCACGTTCTTTTTCTTTCAATAATACTTCATCCTTTATGTAACACTTTTTCTTGTAAAACATGTTTGCTACATAGTGCCTTAGGTATCCTATATCAAATATGAAAAAATACCATTTTGCTATATGCCTTCTAAAAGACAGGAAGAAATCTTGCACGCTCAAGTAATAACAAACAGTGCAGTCTATCTAGGGATTTCATATACTGTAAAAGCTGGAGGACAAACAGAATCCTGACCACATTGTTGGGGTCAAAGGAAAAGCTCTTTTAATAATATTAATTTGGCAAATTAAAAATACAATCTTGAAAGGGGCAAAAAATGGAAAAATAATATCTTACACCACCGTGTACAGTATTTAGGCATGGAGAATATTTCTTCAATGATTTAAGCATGATTTAATATACTCTACTGCCTCTATTTTTATACTGCCCACATTGGAGCTTTCAAGATTACAAGAACTTGTTAGAGTTTATATTAACCCTATATATTTTGTGTACATCCTGTAAGTGTCGATTTTTTACTGTAGTCTTTGAAATAAATAAATATGCAGAACAATTTGTCCAACTTTGTGTTGACTATTGTGTTATGAACACATCTGGTTTGATCCAACTGCATCTGCGCGCAGAATTCTATATTATTTTAACAATTTTTTTGTGCTAGTAACAACAGGCTTTTATACGCTTCAATGCACTATTTGTGCGATGTGACACAATCAATTGTTAGATGTTCTCATTAAATATTTTTAAAATTAACAATGTTCTCCTGATTGGATTTTTTCTGACTTATAGTATGTTATTTTTGTCTATATTTTTGGAAGAGATTCCGCAAAAATTATTTCTGTTGCAATTAGTTCTGGGTCAGTCCACAGATGGACTGGACTATGAGTTATTTCATTCTTGATGTATTTTATTGTTATTGGTAAAACATACCATGTAACCTGTGGTGGAAATCCAAACATGAATTACATTTGTGAATTGCAGAGAATGTAAATACATTTATGGCATTAAGTTACAGTAATAATACTGTAATAATAATATTTGAAATGACAATGGTGATTGTAAATGATGACACTAATTATGATGTAACTGTGTACAAGTTACTAATTAAAAATTTAAATAAAAGCTCATTTGTGTTGGTGTTCAGATTTGTGTTGAGACAACAATTTTTACTTCATAACTAATTTTACTTAATAATTAGATACAGTGATGATAATCATAATGAACAAAATGTTTGATTATTGAAATTAATGATTATTCTTTGTGAGGATTTGAGGGTGTCACGTCCCTAGCAGAAAAGCAGTTCACTGCTTGTCCTCGCCTAAAGGTTTGGTTTATAGAACCAAGTGTTCTCAAATAAGAAAAGCGGTCCAGTGTACACATATGGCTTGTGAGCAACATAGAACCAATTGCATTTTTTGGAAGGCTTACCATAATGCTTTGGTTCATTCAGAACCTGTCATCGGGAAACGATGTGAAAAAGTCTGCTAAATATATTCATGGACCATGCAATTAAGAACAATGTTGATTTTATTGTTAAATTATTTCATTGCAATTGAGCATGAAATAAACACAAAACAAACAAATATTACTGTGAATTAGTTATTTTCCTACCTTTACCTATCTACCTACAATTCCTTTATGATAATAATATTATCACATTATAAAAGAGGTGTTACCTGGGGTCTAGGTATGCCAGCAACTGCACACTGAAGAATTGCTGCAGAGTCTCCTTCTACAGCAATTAACTTTGTTTCAAGTTCCTTAGTGAAGTATGGAGCACATTCTTCTACTTCTGGGATTATTAACAGTTCAGAGACCTCTGATATTGGGGCTTTTTCGTCCTGTTACATAAAAAATAAAGAATAAAAATAAACATCTTAGCAGGCTTTATACTCTGCCAGGATTGGTTAAATATTACAGCCCAAATAAAGTTTCCAACTTAGTATTTGACAAGTTAAAGTAGGACCCATTGGAAATAAGTTTTACTCCTCCATCAGCTTTTGTTGCTATTTGTTTGTCCTGCCATGTGCGATTATATTTGTTTTGTGAATATTTTGATGATGTGAAATAAACTGAACTGAACTGGCAAGTAAATAGTTCCTCTGCTATGTAGTTTTATCTTGGCAAGTGATGTTTGAACAGATTGTTCTGTATGTCTATTAATTCTGTAGGTTGATGATAGAATGCCTCATCTATATGTCTTTACCTAGGGATTTTTAATTTTTACCCAAAATATTTTGTATTTTATACTTAGTTCACCTAAATGAGATATACTCTATTTGTTTTTTCCAAGATTTTCAAAAACATTATGTATTATATGATATATTCTGTATAAAGCAATTTGTAAATTATTCAACTTCTTTTGTTTAGTTGATCTTATTATTAAACAAAATTATGAATGCAATACAGGATCTGGATTATGCAATGACCTTTTAAAAATATATCACAAAGCAATGAAGAAAGATTAAAAGGATAATTGAAGGGAAATTGAAATTAAAATATTAAAAAACAGAGGTATATTATATCAATAATATTTCTGTAGTAAAAATATAAATGATTATCTTATTATGTAAACAAACTTTCAATTAATATCAATATTATGTAATTTTATGCTTATTTCAATAATTAAATTTTTTTTATTTATAAAATGGAAATTAAAAGTAAAATATTAAAAAAACATAGGTATATTGTATCATCTTTCATCCTTTCTACCTTTTATGTAATAAATATATCTTATGTAAATTTATTGCTCTCTTCCTTTTATTAGTTATCAATAATATCGTATCAATAATATCATTGTGACTATGTAGTCTGTACAGTAGTCTTCGCCTTGAAACTTACTTCTTGCTAGTAAGACTCATTGACGAGCTCAGCAAAAGACAGTTCTGATGATGACTACTATAAAAATTTAATTGTGCTTCAATTTCAACAATAATGTATTTAATTGTTCGTGTCTGATAAATTGTGCTAGTCCCAAAATATTAGCATATGGTCTGTAAGATAATAAAATAAATCATATAATCTGTTACTATTTTCAAGTTATTATAATGTATCTCTTCTTCAGTTGTTGAAAAATATTACATAATTGTTTTATAATTTTGGCATTGTGCAAAATGAATGAGTTAGATTTACCTGAAAATGGAATTCAGGTTGGACAAATTCTTCAGTGGCTGATATTTCAACAAGTGGCTGGATCTCAATAACTGGTATTTCATACGATGGTACTTTCATCTCTTCAAGAGTTGGTTTTGATTCTTCTAGTTTAGGGAGCTCATCATGCTTTTCTATGAAAAAATATATATACAAGCTTTCAATTTGTGTACATCAGAATTAAAGTTAATTGATTACTCAGTACAATAGTAATTGTTTCCATCTGAGATATCCACAGAACCCAAAATTCACAGATGCAAATACATGCAAAAAAGAAGAAAACTACAGTAAGAGAAAAAAAGATGAAAAAGAAATGAAAAATGATTTTGATTCATACTACCAGTAACTTTCATTTTTGTTTCATGATAGAACCCACCTTAAATTAATCAGATTCTTTTCCATGAAATGAAAGGATATATAACACTATGGCAAAAACTTATAAAGGGAATGGGAACTCTTTCTAAGTGGTCCAAAATGTCATATTCAAACTTAATTAAGTGACACTTATATTTTTTTTTTATTGTATCACAGCAACTACAGTAGTCTCAAAATAGAAATAATTCATTTAAAATCATATTTTGACACCTTTTGAGGAATAAGCCATACTTCTTCTCCCGAATCCTTAGAATGAATGATATTGGTATAGGTCTATGGCATGTTTTACTTTGTTGAATGAACCGATTATCAGTTTGACCCTTGAAATTTATTTGGTTTTTTATGAACTTTCATCTCAAAATACTGTAAGATTAAAACATGATGATGCCAATACATCATCATGTGTACATATCATTTTGTGTGAATTTCTTTATCATTGTACATACAGTGTACTGTAGCTAAATATTCATGTTCTTGATTTCTTATAATATTGTAATTAATTGTCATAAGAAAACCAATTTTCATTACTTAATTATTACAGTAAATTGTATCTGAATGTTAACTTGAATTGCAGTCAGCACAAAGTAGGCATGTATGAGAACGGAAAAAGAAAATTAAGATGGTCATATTAGGGTCTGCTGCAACAGCTAAAACAATATAAATATATAGTGCACAACTTACAGTATTAGGTATCAATTATTAAGTTAAACTGTGAAAATAAATTAATTGTCACAATTGTTTTGACCTGCAGGTGCCTTCAAACACACCCATTTCTTAGGCCAAACTACAGTACGTAGCCAAGGAACAAGCATCTTTGTTATTAGAAAATAATTTAATTTTAAAATTTAAATACAACTGGCCTTCATTCATTTTCACATTTTCTCACCTTTGCCTTTCAGCCTACTGAGTGCAGCTCTGTATTCATTTTCATTGATGTACGTCATCCATTCATCTAAGAAATCCTGCTGATGTATCTCTGGGACTAATATTCCAGCTAAATCTTTGATGAGCTTCCCGCTAGAATGTATTTCCCACAGATTCATCAACGCATTAGAATCATGTGTAGATAAATGAAACACTATAGATCCCTCTTCTGTTTTGTCTAAATCAAAACCATGACATTTATAATAGGAGACAATGCTGCTAAGTATAGCAAAACACTTTGGCTTATGCCTTAAAGTCAGAAAGTCTTTACATTCATTAACTTCTTTTAACAAATCAAGAATATATTCCGGATGTGGTTGATTGTCCTCCCTTTTGCGTTTAAGACTTAATTGCACACCTATGAATAGAAGATGAAAAAATATATCAATCAAAGAACATAGAACAATCTTACATTTGCCTGCTATTTTGTTCACTTACCTTTCACCTATATTTAAATTGTAGTTATGTTAATGTCATAGTTTATGTAGTTATTTTCAACAATTCTTGACTTTGTTTTAATATTATCAGTTTATTTCTTTCTTAATTCTTGATGCAATAGTGAAATTTATGCTGATTCAGTAAAGGTGCCTACACATTTAAAGCAGAAAGACTGCAATAAATAAGATTTTTTCAAGCATATGAAGCCATAAGTCCTAGCTGCTATTGCTTGACATACAAAACTGTAAAATCGGAGAATAAGGAATAAACAGAGAATATTTTCTATTATTTGACTTTCTATTATTCAAATTTTACAATATGGCTTCAATATTTAAAAATTTCAGTTTACAAATCTTTACAAACATTACTGAAAATAGTAGACAGGCTTTTAAATAAATTTTAATAAAATAGTCTTTCAAATCCTAACATTTCCAGATCTCAAGAGGCTTTACCCCTCATCTCCATCGGAGCTTTGTCGCTGTCAAACCAGGGCTCTAACTAGTCTCTAGCCTCAACACAATGCTCACTTCTCCCACACAGCCCGCATCAGGCTTAGATATAATACGTGGCTACAATATGTTCTCAGGAACCATCAGGAAAATTTAGGTGATTACCTTTGTCCAATATTTTGGTACCAAGACATCAAACTCTTGCAATAAAAATCACAATATTTTCAAGTAAATTAATCTAATAAATGAATTATAAAGTCTTCTTTTAGCCAGAGCTGAATTGTCATCAATATTGCGGTAAGTATGTAATGTCAATTTAGGTTTTGTTGCCAACTTAGTTTAGAAATCTGAATTTTCAAAAAAACCTAATTGGTCAAACATTTTTGCTTAAAATCAAAATTGATCATGTTAAATAGTGCAAATGCCACATTCTAGTTTCCATTATTTGCTGCCCTCTTTTGTTTGTTTTAACTTGTAAAGTTAGCTTTAATTCTATAATTTAAGCGGAAGTTTTTGGAATGAGTAGTTACAAATAGTTTTATTGAATATATCAATAAAAACTATGAACATTGAATTAGCTAAGGTTTCAGGTTGGTTTAAGTTAAACAATCATTACTACTTACTACTTAGTCCTCTTCATCCCCTTTGGGACATAAGGCTGCAATCATTACACATTGATCAAAATACAATTACCTGTACTTGATTTTAGTGAAACCATTTTCAACTAAACTGTCTCACTCTAATCAATATTTATATACCACTTTATCAGTTAACTTTGTAACAATAAAATATATATTAAAAAAAAGAACAACAATGAAAAATCACTTATTACCTTCACCCAATCTATGTCCTGAATTTGAAGATGCATTTGGAATGTCTGTAAATGTAAGTCAATAGAAAATAGAATATTAAATGTTCTTGAAAATTAAACACAAAATAACAGCTGAGGCCTGCAGTGATGCCAGTGAGAGGCCGAGAGGGGGAGGCTCTGATTGTACTGTATAATTACTAATATGAATTTCTGAGTGGTTCAAATGCTTAGATACTTTTTGTTTTTTTACAGTGACCTAGTACATGTAACCCATGCTCTAATGCAAACAACTCAAAAAGAAAAACCAAAGGAATTAATAGTAACCCATGGTTTCAGGGTTCTGGTTTAATAAGTATTTTCATAAAATTTCAGTTTTCCAAATAATCAGTGATGAATAGAATACCCAACTGCAATGACACAGGACAAAAATCAAGCTGTTCTTGATTTGAAGAGAAATACAGGGTATGACCATACAGAAAGAAACATGGACATTGTGTTCTATTAGTATGAAACATGTTGCTTTCTAGTATCATATTGTACACATCCGAATACTACAGCATCTGTACCAAAATATTCTGAATTCAAAAAGGATCTTGTTAACACCATATTCTGAACCTTCCCACAATGTGTCAATCATGAATAAATGACTACAATAACTATGACAATAAAACTACACTAGTGAAAACAAAAACAGCAATATTATTAATGGTAGTAATAATACTAATGATAGTGTACCAGCAGTAGAAGAAGTAGCAAATTAGTAATAAATTAGTTCAAAGAAATTCATCTAGATTTAATGTATTGTAAGTACAATTGGTTTGCCCAGCAGCAGCCTTTAAACCAGAAGCTTCTTCAAAGAGCTTGAGAACCCAACTTTTTGTTCAAATGTGAAAAAATAATTATAATTTAATGGAAATAAATAGAAAAAAAATTTACTTTTAGACCTTAACTACTAATTAAATTGTGTAGTTATAGTCATCGATATGCTCTGCCCCTAGCTCTGCACCTAGCGTAAATTCATTGGTTGTACTATTTCTATTTAGCACCCTGCTTTTCAAAATCTTGTTATACAACTGCCCAGATTAACTACTTACTGTACTGTACAATACAGTATTTGTAAAATATCAAAAACAGCCACCCAGAGAAAGTAAAAGAAGAAAAGAAAGATAGAAACAGAGGTAGAGAGACGACACATTAGACAGAAAGATGTGGAAGAGTTTAGAGGAGGATAGTATAGGTTCAACAGTGGACTGAAGAACCCTGAAGTAAGTGATAAAATAAGACACAAATGTATTAGCCTTATCTTACCACTTGCTGGTCCTGAGTTTGATGGCGGCTTTGGAATGTCTGAAATATAATTCCATATTGGATTACCAGAAAATAATATTATTTACCATAACTAACATTCAATTGAATTAGACCTATACAGTACTGTACTGTAAAAGCCCAACTTATATGTGATTATTGTATTTTAATACAAATAAAGTCATATAAGACTAAATACAATATTTAATATTAACTACTCTAAATCCAAGAAGGAACAATTAAACAAAGCAGCATTATACAAGCTATCAAGATGGGGATAATTGATGGCTTCTCAAAATTACTGTATTGTTTCAATATAATAAGAGCACTTTACATATCTAAAAAATATTCTGAATTGAAAGGGAATTTTTTTACACCCTCTTTTGAATAATCTGCAGCAGCAGTGGTAGCAGTAGCAGCAGCAGTAGCAGTAGATAGAATTATTATAGAACACAAGGTAACAAATAACATGATAATATTATAAATAAGATACCAATGTAAACATTATTTATCTTACCACTTGCTTTTCCTGGGTTTAAAAATGGCTTTGGAGTTGGAATGTCTGAAATAAAATTAAACAATTGATTACTGGTACAATAAATATCAATTTATTTATTATTTACCATAATATATAATTGAACTCATAAATGGACATGGAAAAGCCATAAAAATTCTATTTCATATTATCAATGTGTTTGATATAAAAATAGAAATCATAAAACACAAATAAATATCAATAAACTACAAGATCACCTTACATCCTAAAGAACAAATCGATGCCAGTGAAGAGTGTGATGTAGTTTAAGAGATTGGATGCCGGAACTACGATTCAGTATACATCGGTGAAACTGGCAGGAAATTGAAGACCCGATTGGAAGAACATAAAAAAGATGTCACCAATAACACAACAGGTGTGTGCACTAGAGCATCCAGAAACACTGAATCTGAGCTCATTTACAAATCAGCGGAAGTGCATGAGGCTGTCCCGATTTCCGTGAGACTCTATAACCATACTACTGACTGAAAAAATGCAAAACCCATACAAACAGAATCCATCTAGCAAAACATAAAAAGAGACAATGGATTGTACTGGTTCTCACATGTACATTATGGCCCAATCAAACTCCTGAAAAACCAGGACAACTGGCAGAGAGGGTGCTATTCAAGCCTGAATAGCGTCCAGGGACGTAGAAAGGATTTTGAAAGGGGGGGGGGGCCGTTATGTGAATCACGTAGGACCCCAGCGGGGTCAAGGGGGCGAATCCCCGTGAAGTAGCGCACTCTGAACGTTCTTAGGACTGTTTGAGAGGATAAAGTGAAAATTGCAATAGACACATTATAAATAAGCGCAAAAATAATTATATAAAAAATCAACAGTGGTAGATCTAGGAATTCGAAAGAGAGGTGAACCAGGGAGGGACTTTCACAGACTGAGGAACCACCCACCTCAGCCCCACCATGGTTGGGGCTGAGGTAAGAAAATTCATGATTAGGGCATCTCTAGATGGCCGGAGATTACACTCTCGCACTTCAATTTGAACATATTTTTCTTTTTTTTCTTTTTTTTAAATGAATGGTGGGGGGCCTTGAATCCACCTCTGCTCAAAACATTCTTTATCCAGAATAGTCATAATCACAAAAAATGGACATGAAATACCAGATTACATCCTAAAAACAAACAGCAGTCACTAAGACATACATCAGGAGCCGACTCGATGGAGTTTAATGTCATACCTAGGGAAGGGCACAGATCTATTTTGAAAGGTGGAGGGGGAGGGCATTTTGTGAGTCGACACCCACCTCAGCCCCACAATGGTTGGAGCTGAGGTGAGAAAATTTGAGGAAATAGTACCTCTAGATGGCCAGAAATGACTGGCCATCTAAAAAATTCATCATCATCACATCACCATTAGTCAAAATGAAGCGCCAAAAAAAATTCTAATGATCTTTTATCAGGGATTTTTGACAAGCATAGAGATCTTATTAATGTGTGTGTGTTTACCATAGAAAACAAAGCTTAAAAACATTGTCTTTGAGTATGTACTTTACATAGGCCTACTTCAAAAACGTGATTTCACAACCAATTTTGAGGAAATAGTACCTCTCGAGATGGCCGGAAATGACACTTTTATATAGTAAAATTCATCATCACATTACCATTATAGTCAAAATGAAACGCCAACAAATTTCTCATGATCTTTTATCAGGGATCTACTTAATATCCAGGACAACTTAGGCCTAATTATAGCTTACTAAGCTTTAACTATATATACTATATTATGATCAACAAATCACAACTTTTTTCCACATTTAGCAAAATTTTCTTCACTATTTATTGCTATTAATATAATTATCAATCATTACTATCGTCATCATCATCATTGTTATTATTATTATTATTATTAGTAGTATTATTAAACAAACGTTTAAAGAAACTTGCAGAAGGAATAAAAACGAAAACCACAGTATCGCATTTCTATCTTAAAAGACCTGGCCTGAGATTTATGAATTTAAGATTTTTTTAAATCACGCATAGGCTTATGTGTTCTATTAGGCCTATGTATAACGTGTACTGATGCATATTTACATGTTCAGAAGTATTCATTTTGAGTGATCCCAGGAAAGAATTTGTATGGGCTCAAGAATAAGCTTTAAAATTTTAACACTGTGTACAAAGGGGGGGGGGGGAGCCGCGGCTCCACGTCCCTGATAGCGTTACTAACAACATCTACATCACAGATACTCTCATCACATAGGAAGAAAATAGCTAATTTACCAGAACAGTATACTGTACTGAAAATCAGCACACACAAACCAATATCTAAACTACTCATCCCACCACCCTCTCAAAAACAAATTAATAAGATGAAACATTGTGTATGTGTATCATCGAACACTTCAAAGTGTTTGTGAGCTCTAAAAAAAACAAATGTGTCAAAGCTCATAACCAGCAATAATTCTGGATTTATATAGCGCCTCACGTTGACACAACCCCGGATCACTGGATCAAGCACATATGGAACACACACTCAAGCCCCATGGGGGAATTTCATAATGTTGCAGCTGTATTCAACGCAGGCTGTGTTTGAACCTACCAGGTACCCACTTGTACTCCTGGGTGGAGAGAGACAACTGTAGATAAAGTGCCTTGCCCAAGGACACAAGCAACTTGCACAGCGAGAGTTTCGAACCCCTAACCTCAAGGTTGGGAGTCCAAACCACAACCGATGCGCCAACCACTTCAACAAATACCAAACTGAATTTCAATGTCAAGAAAAGGTCTTACAAAAACGAATCTGTCTCAGGTTCAAGCTTTTATTCCACTGATTAGGAGGTTCTTCTCAGCAAAAATTTTTTTTTTGGAAAATACATACAAGAGGTACTATTATTGTACAGGGCAACTTGACTAGGAAAGTAACTGGTTTCTACTATTAATTAGATGGCAGGCCCTATTATAAGCAAATATGGTTGTTGGGAGGAAGTTTAAGGGTTGGCCACCCTATTAAACTCCTTAAGTCCACCACTGGCTATTTAACAAGATTCCTCACTGATTAAAGGCCAACTAATTCCAATTTTCTTTCCTTTTGTGTGTGTGTGTGTGTGTGTGTCCATTTTTAAAATTCAACATGATCAGGAGGTTCTTCTCAGCAAAAATTTTTTTTTTGGAAAATACATACAAGAGGTACTATTATTGTACAGGGCAACTTGACTAAGAAAGTAACTGGTTTCTACTATTAATTAGATGGCAGGCCCTATTATAAGCAAATATGGTTGTTGGGAGGAAGTTTAAGGGTTGGCCACCCTATTAAACTCCCTAAGTCCACCACTGGCTATTTAACAAGATTCCTCACTGATTAAAGGCCAACTAATTCCAATTTTCTTTCCTTTTGTGTGTGTGTGTGTGTGTGTGTGTCCATTTTTAAAATTCAACATGATCAGGAGGTTCTCAGCAAAAATTTTTTTTTGGAAAATACATACAAGAGGTACTATTATTGTACAGGGCAACTTGACTAAGAAAGTAACTGGTATCTACTATTAATTAGATGGCAGGCCCTATTATAAGCAAATATGGTTGTTGGGAGGAAGTTTGAGGGTTGGGCACCCTATTAAACCCCCGAAGTCCACCACTGCCTATTTAACAAGATTCCTCACTGATTAAAGGCCTACTAATTCCAATTTGTCTTTCCTTTTGTGTGTGTGTGTGTCCATTTTTAAAATTCAACATAATTAGTGATTAAGGGTGATCCTTAATAGGCTTTCTTTCAAGTTTTATACCTTTTAGAATTATGCTTGCGCTGATGTATTTTTTTTTTCTTGGATTTTAATAATTGAATAATAATAATTTATATTATGTTGTTATGATTTTTGTCGTAACAACATAATAAAAAAATGTGAAAAAAAAAAATAATTGATATAATTTTGCATAAATTTTTTTTTTATTTTTATTTTTCGTGAATTCCTGATGTTACAAATTTTTATGTATTCTAATTTTACTTTACTTTTTTTCATGTCTTGTGCGAATGCTTGTTTAATGTTTTTAATTTAATTATTGTCAATAGCGTAAAATTCAGCCTTGCTGAGATTTTGATGCTAATAAAAGAAACTGAACTGAAACCGAAGCTTAAAAGTAAAATTTATAATATAAATATTTTTAATGTTAACACTTTTAATTTTTTTTAATGTCTTGTCATTATGCAAAATTTGTTGCAAATATAACTTTAATTCAGCATGTTGCAATTTTTGATATTTCAATGAAGACAAAAAGAATTTTATTGAAAATGCAAAGCTTATGTTTTTTAACTAGTACATGTAGTAATTTGAGGGGTTTAGGTTTGTCTTAATCCATCCTCCTGGCTGTGTCCCTTAATGATACTGTAAATCAATCTGCATTGCTTTGTGAATTAATTGTTTTTACTGTAGGACTTTGATCTCCTCTGATATAATCAACATTTATTATATTGCTATACAATAACAAAACTGAATACCTTCTGTTAAAACTTTCACAGCCAGTAGAAGTTCAAGGCTATTCAGGTTTTCAATGAAGGTGACCATTTTCTCTTCACAAATTATCCTGTTGCGCTCCAAATCCATAATTAAACTCCATGTGTCTGCATATTCCTTAACTGGTTTGTTATACAATCCACTGATTTTTTTTACCTCTTCATCAATCAGTATCATTCCAAGCTTCATAACTTTTTGTCTGTGAGGTGTGAATTTTGAGATTATCACATTTCTAACATTTGGAAATGACGGTAGCTGGTTATCTCTAATTTTCCTTTCCAGGCCATATTGCTTTGATAAGTTTATGGTATTGCAAAGAAGACTTAGATCTGTTAAGTGCAGATCCCCAGAATCAATCAATAAATCCATCAACTCCATCACCTTGGTAGCCTTATTTAACTCATAATTGTTTTTCAAGAGATCGCTGTACAAAACTTTCAGCATACTGATCAATCCACGCTGGTCATACCAATTTGAAAAAACTGTCAACAGCTGTCTGAAAGTGTCATCAGTGATTTCTATAAAATTACAAGAATAAAGATGTATCATTATTAATGTAGCTGGTTACAAAATACCCGGTATTTACAGTAAATTGAAGGTTATAAATTGTTCGGAAATTGCATTAACATTTAAATGACCAAAAACAAATTAAGGGCATCATCTTAATCAATGTTATTTTAACATTTTGTCAGTATCATCTTCATATCAGCATCACCATTCTATACAAATTTAGGTCTTTCTTAATATTATATTAAAATAGGAAATGACAATAGTGTATTCATGCTACAAGATTATTTTGTTTATTTCTATACTTATTCATATAGTTTCAATCAAAATTATTATTAGGAAAGGTGCTAAATACCTAGAACATTTATTTTTACTGGTAAAATTTAAAAAAAACTAAATTTTGTATTTGTAAAAGATTAAAACCTTTAAAAACATTTTTGGTAACAGATCAAGAATACTTTTTAAAACAAAATACATAAATTTCCTATCATTTCAATATTTATTTAGTCCAGTAAATAAACAGTAAAGAGCAATCTGAAAAAATGGGTAGACCAGAGCTATAACCAAACTGAATTAATCACTTTCTGTTGGGACCATCCCCAATTATAGCTCTAGAACTGTAGCATTAACTAATGGTGTGGGAAGCCAAATGGCAAATGAGTGAGTGAAGGAGGACTAGAGTCTTAGATGAAAAAAATGCACAGGTGAATGTGCTATCATTTTAAGGACCATGTACAATTTAAAACAAAAAACAGCAAGAAATTTATCTCTTCTCACAGACAATGACGGAAATGGGAAATAATCATCTCTTCTCCTCGAAAATCATCCGTCTCCGATATTGTGTGAGAGCATGTTGACATATTTCTTCATTAGTTTACCTTCCATTTTGTCCTTATTTTCATTAACCTTTCTATCTCATTGACCTTCTGTTATTCATCATTCCATTTCTGAAAAAAAAATACTTTAGTTATATTAACTACAACTTCAGAGCTTCTGGACTGTGTTACTAGTTTATATAATTTCTAAATACATCTGCACAGCCCGTGGGAGTTGGAGGCACAGGGAAGGGGGGAAGGGTGACAGAGTTTAGGCCTATGCGAAAATTTTGAAGAAAATTCATAATACCAAACATAATAAGGAAGACAATCCAAAACATAGCTATAAAAACTAATAATTATAGGTGTTTGAAAAAAACATTTACTGTAATTTATTCAACATCTATCAGTGTTGGGAGCATGTGGTGCAGTGTGTTGGATTTGTTAACATGAGATCAAGAGTGCAAGACATTGCTTGTCGCATTGCTTGTGTCCTTGGGTAACACACTTTACTTACATTTGTCTCTCTTCTCTTCTCTCTCTCTTAAATAATAATAAATAATATAACAGTAGTAATAAAAATGTGTAAATTTAGTACAGCAGTAGTAACTACAGTAGTATAGTAAAAATATATTATACTGTAATTCAATATAAAAAATATATTACCAAGTTTTAATAACAAGATCAAATTCAACTCACCCATCAAATGATACATCAATCCCAAAAGTTCAGTATTGTACCAGAGACAACTCAAGTCACATTTTACCCATGGCTGAATCCCCATATCTGCCTATAATGCCTGCAAAAACAAATCAAAACTTCCTAAAGTTGGGCTGTATGAAAACAATGCTATTAAATGACGTCCAAAATTTGCGTTTAACATTAATGGACTGCTGCTACATAAAATGGTTTGCCAATGTGCTGTGAGATCAATGATTAGAATTATTTATATTGGTGAGATCTGAAGTTATCATTACTCATTTTGTGATTGGAATAAAATTATATATAAGACTGTCAATGCTTAGTTTTAAGTTGCAGAAAGATATAGTTACAAGTTACTGCAGACTTCCCAAGTTCATAAATGTAAGTGCATTGCTCCATTGCAGGTACTTCTCTGGAATTTCAAACATATTGTACCAGACTGTATAGTGAGGCCTGATGATACTGATATTTCGTAAATATATTCACAATGTTCTCCAGAGTATCGGAGATAAGTGTCCACTTTCCACTAAAACGAACCTCCCACAAATAAATTCATCAGTATTCTGAAAGTATGGGTTGTCTAGGGACAATGTAACCAAAGTCATTTGTTCTGGGCTTTAGACCCATATATTTATGGGTCTAGGCCTACATTTCTGTAGCGTTTTTGTCCATTTTCATACGTCCATAATTATGCAAAAATTTCAGTAGCTACTACAGTAAGCCTAATTACGGAAATTCATTCCGTAGCACTTGAGTCTATTACTATGTCAACCACACCCACCCCTTTCAAACAGGGCTTTCTAGTTAGATGTGTCCCATTTTTCAATAAAATAAATGACCTGCTATAATGACGAAGACAACTCAATACCAATAGGGACACGCAACCACCAGTGCAAGCCCAGTGGAATTCAATTAAATGGTACATCCGTGAGAAATTGGACTAGGCTCGCCTGGCGCTAGTGTACTTTTGCACACTACATCCAAAAACCATTTATTAACAAGATGGCCAGCGAATTAACCGGATGTCGGGTGTGAGAATGAAAGAGATTTTACTTATAATAGAGGCTTAAAATAGTGTAATATTACAGTAAAGTGACAATATCCAACCATTTCAGCATGTCTATGAATATTTGATAATAAATTATATAGTAGCTTTTGATTTTAGATGTAGTGTGCAAAAGTGCACTAGTGCCAAAAATTGAACCATAAATCTTCTTCCTGCCCAGTTAGTATTCTAAAGCTGTTATTAATTATACTCTACCTGCAATGTTGAGTAACCCATGCACTCGGTGCTACAGAAATTTTTCATTTACTGTGGAAATTGAAGGATACTGTATAATATTAGTTACTGAAATCATACATGCCAACATTTCAGTATAACAATCAAGAGAACAAAGTAAGATGTACGGGCTATGTGTTTCTTCATATTTTAAGGTTTTAGCGCATTTTACTACTAACTCAAGAAGTCAGTACTTCTACCTGTAATTTGAATATTTCAAATACAGCTGCAAAATATCAGTGAGACATGGAGAGTTTTATATTCTATTGTATGTTAGACAATGGAGGAAAATCCTCCATGGTTAGACCTAGGCGTGACCGGTTAGGCGGTTAGGCTAGCCTAAGTCAGCTGGCTTACATCAATCTCTCGTTTTTGGCAGGCGGACCGTGCCGACAATAAATAGGTGCTAGACCAGCCGGCCTAACTACTGTAGTAATTCTACTAAACATCAGTAACATATATATGATCGTTAGCGTAATCATTAATATTTTAGTAATGTATGGCCCTGCTAGTCTTCATCGAAATATTCAACTATAGAATTTAGCTTTCTAGATACAGTACATACATAAATAATTTCAGTTCAGGGAGGTGCTGTTGGCCCAAATATCGTCGGCTCGTTCTTTGCAACAACATGGCCGCGACATTGGTAGGGAATTTCCCCAAACATGATGACGTAAGATACTGGACTTTCTGCGTTCCAAAGTGATGGCGCCAACGGGAAATTTGCCCTCCCGTCGGACAGGTCTGGACCCCTGTCGCAGTGGCGTATCTAGCAGTATTAAAATGGGGAGGGGAGGGGGAGGGGGAGCGGGAGCGACAAAAATATGAGGGGGAGTGGAATTTATTTTCGGTGGCCACTGAAAAATATTGCTTCTTAGATTCCCGAATACACGTTAACCGTGACAGCATAAGCATAAGCCTAGCCTATTTTTTTTTTGCTTCGAAGTTTTCCCCCCTCCCCTTGGATACGCCACTGTTCTTTTGATGCCAGAATGATCATCTACATGTACTTACCAAAAGAAACAAAGCCTGATCCATTAGTATCAAACAACTGAAAGGCAACCATGTGTAAGGCATCGTAAAGAATAGGACCTGTCTCTTATACACATCTAGATGTGTATAAGAGACAGTGTGGGGATTGCGTTCCCCCCTGGATACGCCACTTCCCTGTCGTCCAACGCCATGACTTGGAGACCCTGTCGTATAGTTTCAAGTGCAAGTGCAGGTATCCATTCATAGAAGTCTTATGAAGATAAGCCTATTTTCCCCCTTCCCCCTCTCGGTGGCACTGTCAGTATGTATACACCATACTGCTTGTCATACCGGACACAAATTACTGCATCAGTATGTGTACACCATCACTGCTTGTTATACCAGACACAAATCATTTAACTGCCTCAGTTTGTATACACCATCACCTTTGAAACCAGTCAACTCACTGCCGTCATGAATGCGCCATCACTGTTACTCAACATCAGTAATAAACCAACACATGCAACAATTGATAGAAATGCTATTTTTATTTCTCATCTTTCATTAAAACAGACAGACAGATTGAATTCAACATATTACTGAAAATCTTTATAAACAATGACAATAATCATAATAATCATGAAAGTACAGTACTAAAAATATTCATTATTATGAAATACAAGTGCATTTGTTTAAGTTATATACAAAGGATCTATACAAATAATATTAAGGTTCTAAAATTATTATGTCCTAATGTTTTTACACTGCAGTCTTTTAATTTACACCAGAAACATAAAAATCGATCTGTATTTTAACAATTCAGACTAAAAAACAATGATACCACAGAAATTCCAGAAAACAATACATAAGGGAACATTTGAACATTAAACAAACTTCTAATAACATACATAATTTTACTGGAATGTACACCTTTGAACTACAGTATGTGGAATGAAACTTTCTCCTTTCTCCGTAAACAAAGCAATACAAGGCGAGACTTTTTTATACCTTGTTTCTAAAACTTATTTTTTCTTTTTAAGATTGTCGGAGGGTGGAAAAAAAAAATAAAAACAAAATTTTGTTTTCTTATTTACAAAGTAGTTTTGTTAAAAAATTCAAGGAGAAAATAAAAAAATGTATTGGTGAATGTAAACAGTGTAGTAATGGGATGGTTAAATGCTTTCAGTTAACATAATTAGGAAGAAATATACATATCTTATCATCAGAGATTTTAAGGCAGCGGTGGGCATAATAAAAATAAAGAAACACTTTTTTTCCCTGAAATTTCCATTTTTTATTTGATTAGATTTGATTTATTTCGAAATTCTCACAACTAAACAGAGTACAAAATTAAACGAATCAAACAAAAATAAGAGAATTTCAGGATAACCCTTCAAGCATTTCTGCTTGTTTCCAAGGGCTCCCTTTACAATAATAATAAATGCAACAATGACATATAACAAAAAGAAGGCCATGGCCTAAAATAAGCAACAATGCAAACAAATACCATACTGAAACAATTAGCTTGGAAAGAGAATTCTAAATAATTAATAAGGTAGGACAAAGATTTAGATATGTAAATAACATCATCAA